TTTAAATTTGAATCATATACATGTAAGTATCTCATCATAAGATTGATAAAGTTAGACATAAGCTGGAGTAGTTTAGCATACTTATAACTGTCTAAATCAGGGTCTAAGTGGACATCCAAGGGGGAAAACCGGAAAACTAAGACTGCCCAAAGCAAAATTTGAATAACAGTGCTGAAAAATAAATTTTTAGCTGTAGAAACTAGAAAGAGTTAAAAACAACTATACTTTGTAGGTTTGCAATGTTTTTTTATCACCTTAGATCTCAACTCTCAAATGAGTTTCACTATAAATTTGGACCAGACAATACATAGTCCATATCTAGCTAGTGCATTTCCATATACAATTACTATTGCAGTATGCAATTATCACATTTACCAGTTCCAGAACTAGCCATTGCCATACACAACACTTAACAGCTCCAGTGGAATTGAAGCATTATAAAAGAACCAGAAAACAAAGGCAAGTACAGTTCAGGACCTTTTGCAACAGTAATTTAGAACCAGAAGTGGACATAATTGTAAAGAATTTTGGAATATATTGCAGCAGGTCTAAGGTAGTATGTGGGTAAGTATCAATATAACTAGTTTTGCATCCAGTGTGCTTTTCGCACCATATTTGTTCTGTATTTTATGCTGCATTCGCCTCACTCTGTCATTTTTCGGTTCCACTTGAGTGAAGAAGAGAGAGTTGAATAGACAACTCTTTTGACTGGTTTTGAACTAAAAAGAATAGGATTCTTCTAATTGAGCAAGCCAAATATAACTTCAACTAAATAATTAATCCTAGCACGATCAAGTTGTTCGTCTTAAAATATAGTCAGTAGTACAGTAGAAGTTGAACCACTAAAAGAATCATCAAATAACTAAAACTAGTTAATCAACTTTGATGTAACTTTGGATGTTATTGGTGTTCCAGGTACTCTTATATTCTTCATTTATTTGGCACGAACAGCATATTAGTGGACTTACAATTTATTTGGCACGAACAGCATATTAGTGGACTTACACCAAGGCTGCATACATTTCCTAGCCAAAACTTTGGATTGCTTCAGAAGTTTTTTTCGATTATGCTGCAGGTTTCACAATTCATTGATTTCGACAATAAAATGAAGGTTATCAAGGAAAGTGAAGACAAGCTAGTCAACCTTGAAAAATTGTGTGTTAAAATGCATAAAGAAGAGGATATGAAGGGTAGCCAAACTATATGATAGATTTATGTAATACATTGAAATACTAGATTGAACTACATAGTTGTTGTGATACTTTTGTATATTGTTTTTTGTTTCTTTTTGTTGTATTTAATGTGTTGTTTTTTGTTGCATCTTGTTGTTTTCTGTTGCATCATGTTGCGATTTGTTGCACTGTATTACTCCCTCCGTCCCCTTTTAAATGTCCCGTTTTACTATATTGGGATGTCCCTATTTAATTGTCCCATATCTTATTTGGTAAACTTTGTGTGGCTCAAAATCATTCTTACTTTATTCTTACTTTATCAATTAATATCAACCACACAAACTCACTTTTCTTAAAACCCGTGCCACCATCTCCCGTCCCATTTAAAAGGGGACGGAGGGAGTACTTATTTTTGTTTTGTTGTTGAATTGTTCTTAGATTATTGTATATTTAGGTTTTTGTTTTGTTGTTCTTGATTAGTATATATATATACACACAGTCACACACACACACATTCATATTCAATCAGGTAAGATGATAAATTTTAATTTCTTTATATAAACCAACTACGAGAAACATGAAGAAACAATAAAAAAACAAAAAATATAGAGTTATCAACAAAAGGAAACAAGAAGAAATAATAGGCAACAAAAACAAACAACAAATCTATCTAATGATTATTATTCATAATTTTAAATTTTAAAAAGTTTTCAACATTTAATTTTATTTTAAGTTTTGTTTTATTTTTCACATTTTTAATTTAATTCATAATTAAATTTACTTCTTTTCAATTTTTTAAACAATTTCCTAATTATATTTTATTTTATACCATTTAATTTGATTTTTGAAATTTTTTCAAATTTATATATTTATTATTGTATTTTTTACTTTGTATGTATATCGGTTTCTAAAATAATAACCGTTTATCATAATAGTTATAATTGCCTATGATAATTGGTAATATTTTCAAATATTTTAAAATATTGAAAACTATTTTTTATAATTTTTTATTATTTTATGATTCAAATATTATAGAGTTTTTTTTAGATTGCTTCACTTTTTATTGATATATTTGATTTTTTAATTTTATTTTATAAAAAGTTCAATTGCGTATATTTTTGATTGGTTTAAATATTTTTGATTGGTTTAAGTACATCTTATACAAATTATGGAGTACATTAAGTCTTCTAAGAAATAAATTTACAGAAATGGTTCTATTTCTACAAATTTTCCACGTTATAAGCTATTTTAAATCTTACTAATTTTTACTTTTGAGTTTTGTATTTTAAAAAAAAATCATATCTTTAATTTTTTTTAAATATATATTTCGTTTTTTAAATTTAGCTTACAAGTTTTCAGCCTCAATGTTTTATTATGCATTATGTGATTTCTTAATTGGATTATTTTATTATTATTATTATTATTATTATTTTATCTAATTTTAATACTTTTTAAATTTTTTAATCATCTTCATCTCTTTTATTACATATTAAAAATTTTTATTTGAACACATGAATTGAGTTGTTCTAGGAGTTTATATAAATTTAACAAAGTACTCCGTATGTGATAGAAGTAGCCTACAGCGGTACGACCATGCACGCATCTTTGAAGTGAAGATTCCAGCACGTTGGTTCGATACAGTCTATTTTTGAAAGGAAAGTTCAATTGGTCTATTTCTGAAAAGAATTTTGAAAAGTGAAAAACGTGATATATTTTTAATATTTGTGCCCATTTGCGAAAAATTCCCAAAATAGTTTAAATATTCTCAATTTTAAATTGAAGAGGTGTGAGATAAGTACTCTAATTTGCACATGTAATATATACCCCAAATTATATATAAAAAATTATGTTAGACCCATGATCATATATTTTTCTCAAATATAATTTTATGGTATTTAATATATAATTTAAAATACACAAAATATTTACGAGGATGCAATTAAAATTAAATTGTACCGGATGTAATATTATTTATTTCAATTCACAAATGAAATTTAAAATGTTAACTACATTCTAACAAATCTTAAAGAATTTTAAACTATGATTTATTCCAAAAAGAATTGTACTTGTAAAATAACATACAATCGTGCAGTGGTGCGAAAATAACTTTTTATACAAAGTTCGGGGTATACATATTAAATATGCAAGTTTGAAGGTACTTATCTCACACCTCATTACAGTTTAGGGTATTTAAATTATTTTTTCCCTATATTATATAAAGTACTTTCCCCGTTTTTCTGTAGTTGCAACACTTTGATTTTACATCTTTCACATTTAAGTATATTTTATTTATTAATATATTAATAAGTATACAATACAAAATATATATAAAAAATGTTTCAAAGTAAATATCCAAATATGAATCTTTATATGTTTTTAATAACAACGAATTAAACTTGATCAAAGGCGTGTTTTATAAACGTGAAAATCAAAGTGTTTTAAGTAATTAAATAAGCTTATAATCTTTATAATTAAGTTTTGCCAGTAACATTGTTTTGGCAACAGTTTTACTAGTAATATTGAAAAGGGGCTTATGTGTCTACTTGTTATTATAAATAACTAAGTATTGAGAGATAGATATATGAGCAACTCATATTTATATTTTCAGGGTGTTGGTCCAAAATAGGACGCTCGTAAGCTTTTAGGAAAGCTACGCTGGACACTCAAGCAAGAATCAAGAAAATAAGAACGAATATGGAAAGTTGCTAGAGAGTTTGAGAGCCAGAAATAGCATGTTTATTATTTGAATCGGACTTGCCTTTTATAGGCGACGACAAATGGTAACTGCTTACTAATAATGGGTAAATTAATTACAATATTAATACGGAATTAAATACACAATTAATAGCACTAATTGTTGCCCGTTACTCTTCCTGGCTGGCTGGCGGGTCGGCATGGCTGGCTGGCCGGACGCTTGAGCCCCTTGGACGACAGGCCCCCTGCTAGGCCAAAGGCGAGCTCCCTGCTGTGCTAGAGGCAGGCTCCCCGCTGGGCTTGAAGTAGGCTCCTGGCTAGGCCGGAAGGCAGGCTTCCGGTTGGGCTGATAGGCAGACCATCTTAGGCCTCCACTCAGTTGGACCTCCGCTCCTCGATAGGCTTGATCAGTTGGGCCGGCCTGAGATCCGGATTGCTGGGCCCACTGGTTGGGCCTATTGATCCAAGTTCGAAGCCAAGTCTGATTAGGAATTGGGCCTAATCCCATAATCCTATCACAGGGTGAGAATATGAGATTTATAGGAGAGCAATTAGGCCCGCATTACTGTATGGCACAGAGTGTTGGGCGGTGAAACAATGTCACATTCAAAAGATGAGTGCGACAGAGATACGCATGCTGTGTTGGATGTGTGGGCATACTAGAAAGGACCGCGTGAGGAATGAGACAATCAGACAAAGGGTGGGAGTAGCACCTATTGAAGATAAGATGCGGGAGTCGCGCCTACGGTGATTTGGTCATGTGCATAGAAGACCGAGTGATGCACCTGTCAGACGAGTTGAGATGTGTGGAGAAGAGGCAGGGAAGAGAAGGAGAGGAAGACCCAAACAGACGTGGGTTAGGGGAGTCAGAAGTGATATACTTCTTCTTGGATTGGATGAGGGTATGGCTTTGGAGAGAGCAAAATGGAGGGCGGGTATTCGTGTGGAGGAGTGATCTTGTATCATCTTTTCCCCTCTTTTTTTTTAAAATATTTTTATCCTTATATATAAATATTACTTTATCCTTTTTTATTTTATCTTTTATATGTATATTCATCTCTTTTATATCATCTTTTTTATAACAGCTTGTCTTTTTTATCTTTATTTTCTTTCGGGAAAACTGTCAAATAAGTCCTCCTACTATATCATAAAAGTCAATTGAGCCCCCGTACTACTAAAACACTCAATTAACCCCTTGTACTATAAAAAAACAATCAATTCTTCTTTTTAACCGGTTCCCTTCCAGTTTCACCGGTAATCGCCAACCTGTATGCCCATGTGGCCTTTTTACTCCAGATTTTGACAAATACTACGTAATGAATACCACCTGACCTATTCAAACTTAGATGAACAAACCATGGGACTGTTCATCTTCCCCAACCATTTTGACATGCAACTCTCTCCCAGGACCCAGATTTGGGCACCCAAGTCGCCAAAACTCTAAATCCATGAAAGCACTGGACTGTTTACAAACACCAGAGCCCCCTTAGGGTTAGCCTCACTAAACAAAACCATGGATGCAACAAAGCCGCTTCACTGGCAACCCCATTTCAGTTGGATCGGAAGACAAACGAGGGATACTTTTTCATCGCCATCCCTCAAATTCGATAGAAGAAGGGGCACATTACAACCGGGAAGGAGTATCACGGCGACGACATCCATGGGGTGAAGTAGATAGATGAGCTACGGCGGCTAGGCCTGGAACGACGACGGCGAAGTTTGCAGTTCTGAGCGAAAGGGGGGCAAAGTCGACCGGTGAAAAAGAAAGTGAAAGGGGGAAGTGAAGGGTGGGAGAGGAAGAGAAGGAACCGACCGGTACAGAGCGGAACGCCGGTGAATTTACTGGCGTCGGCGGCAAAAAGCCGCTCCGTATTGTATAAGAAAGAAAGAAAAAGAATTAAAGAAAAAGAATGAGTATGGGCGTCGAGGGATAAACTAAAAAAATTCAAAAAACTTTTTTAAAAAGCCACGTAAGCAGTCCAGGTAAGGTGTTTACCGGAAGACTTATTCGATACCGGCTAATAGGCTTGATTGGGCTTTTTTTGTGAGTTTGAGGGTTCAATTGATTGATTTTAAAGTAGGAGGGTCTAATTGACTTTTTTGATATAGTAGGAGGACTTATTTGACAGTTTTCCCTTTTCTTTCTTTTCCTTTTGGTGATATCATGTATCGATTCATGTTAGCCGACCCCAATATCGTTTGAGACTAAGGCTTGGATGCTGTTGTTTTTGTAATATGAGATTTATAATAATGAAGAAATGATTAATGGGTATATAGACAGATGACCTCAAAAAATGGAAAGAGGGACTATTAGCCTTAAGTTTAGGAGGAGATGTGTAAGGGGATGGAAAGACGGCTCCCTTAGAATTTTCTTCTTCCTTGAAACTTTTATCATGCAACTTCTCTTTTCTCTTCTTCCTTTCTGCAGACTCTTCCCTGCCCTTCTCCTAGAGGTGGTAAATATCTTCAATTCTTCATCTCATCCCCTTATATTATCCTTCCATCTGTTTCTATTATTTTTTCTAGCATTATGATATTCCATATATATAGCTTCTGATAAAATTCAATCATGATATATAATATAATATAATTGTATAGATGTATATAGATGTCAAACAATATCTACAACTTTTGGCGTCAATTTATGTAACAAGGCAAATGCTTGTTTATTCTTGATGAAATTTTGATGCATGTGCATGGTAAATTGGTAATAATTATATATAAATAATTATGGATATTTAACTAATGTATTTTTAGATTTCTTGTTACCATTGGGGTTCCATGATAGTCTCTTATATTTATATGCTATAGTTTAGTTATTAGTTCATATTTTAACCGGAATGTATATTCATCAACATTTTCAATGTTTTATCAGGTATTAGTTTTTGGGAGATAGGCAGGTAGGGATGTCTTCCCCGCCGCCGTCTCAAGAATCTCCGCCACCACCCGCTCCTCCATCTCCTGATAAATCATCGTCCCCTCCTCCACCAGATAGCTCATCGTCGCCGCCTCCTCCACCGGATAATTCATCACCGCCTCCCCCGCCAGATTCTTCACCGCCGCCTTCACCAGATTCTGACAATAGCCCACCTCCACCTCCGAGCAACAACTCACCACCGCCGGGAAATAGCGACGCGAGTCCCCCCCCTCCACCCCTCTCACCACATTCCTCAAATGGGGATTCATCGCCTCCGCCACCTCCGCCCCGCTCTAAACCGCCCCCTCGTCCAAAGCGCCACAAATCGGCGAATGACACGTCGTCGTCGTCAAATGATGACAGCGGTGAAAACGCGATAGTGGCCGGAGCTGCGGCAGGAGCAGCGTTGCTACTGGTGGTAATGCTAATCTTGTTTATTTGTTGCTGTAAACGGAAAAAGCGAAGGCGACATAATCGGATGGCCTATTATGCCGATCATTCTCCTAGGAAAGGTATGTATTTCAGAAATGCTTAATGTACACATTTTCCCAAAATTTCAATCTATGACACACACAATTAGTACAATTTTTTGAATAATTTCTGCATGTTTAGATGAATTACCTATGGTATAGATCAGACAAATCACCTCTGTTACTAACAAAATGTCAAGGCGTGTACAAAAACGTATAGATGGCATTTCCTAAACATGTACTGCTTGTCCCTAAAGTAGTCCTTGTAACATTTTACTTTCTTATTCAATTAGTTTAATACTCCCTCCGTCCCTGAATTATCTTCAAACTTTCCTTTTTCATCCATCCCAAAATTATCTCCTCTTTCTCTTTTTGGCAAAGAATTTGTGGCTCACGACCATTCTTACACATTCTTACACATTTCTCTCTCCTCTGCACAACTCTCCACCACACAAATCCCACTATCTTAATTTGTGTGAAATGTCAAAGGAGGAGATAATATAGGGACGGAGGGAGTATTTGTTAAATGTCCCACACCGGATACGTTTGGATGAACAAAGTGTTATATTAACACACGAGCTACTCCTCCTATCAGGTTGACCTTTTAGCATGGAACCCCGTGTCTTAACAATATTGACTACTGTTTTTTTTTTTGAAAAGCTACTTTCAATAATAAAGTAATCTCATAAAAATCTAAAAATCATAATTTGCATTACAACATATCCATTGAAAAAATTGGTCAAACATAACACACTTGACTAGAATGTATACAAACTTCATATTGGATTTGGAATTATAAAAGTAAAAACTGTGTTTGCAGTTAAAATATGTGCAAAGAACATAGAAATGAACATAATTATAAATTCATTTTTTGTAAAGAAAGTAACAAATTTTTTGGTATACAACATGAAAAGGAATACATCGTTTTTAGTTGCAACAGTAAACATTTCACATTTGCTAACACACATCTTTGACCGTAATTATATCTCCATCTTTATTAGTAAAAAAATTAAAAACAGATTTTGAAAATTTCTAATGAGATGAATTGAACAATAATTTTTTTAAAAATAATTTTCATAAAATTTAACATGTTAGCGATTAACGGAGGATAGTAGTTTTCAAATTAATGAGTTTTATTCGGAAAGTCTAAGGTAATTAAGAAGCTGTTCCGTTCGTCTTAATCTTATTACTTATTCCTTAATCTTATTTTATTCAGATCAGATCAGATCAGATCAGAAAGATTCAGATCAGATCAGATCAGATCAGAAAGATTCAGATCAGATCAGATCAGATCAGAAACATTCAGATCAGATCAGAAAGATTCAGATCAGATCAGCAACATTCAGATCAGATCAGAAAGATTCAGACCAGATCAGACCAGATCAGAAACATTCAGATCAGATCAGAAACATTCAGATCAGATCAGATCAGATCAAAAAACTCAAACATGATTTATCACTTTTATTAATATATTAATTATGATTATTATATTATAATTATTGTTAATAATATTAATATATTAATATAATAATATTATTAACAATATAATAATAATGTTAATAATATAAAATTATTATTATAATATAATATAATATAATATAATATAATATAATATAATATAATATAATATAATATAATATAATATAATATAATATAATATAATATAATATAATATAATATAATATAATATAATATAATATAATATAATATAATATAATATAATATAATATAATATAATATAATATAATATAATTTAATATAATATAATGTAATATAATATAATATAATATAATATAATATAATATAATATAATATAATATAATATAATATAATATAATATAATATAATATATTTATAATTATAATTATAATTATCATTATGATTTACAATGTAATTATAATTATAATCATCATTATTATTAATATGATTGTTGTTCTTGTTGTTATTGTTGTAATTATTATTACTTCGGAGTAATTATATATTTAAATCAGTAATTATAGATATAATTATGATTATAGAAATAAATATTATAATTATAATTACAATAATAATTATAAAATTAATCATAATTAAAAATATAATTACATTTATAATTGTATTTGTACTTATAATTAGTGTAATTAGTATAATTATTATAATTTTAAATTTAATTTTAATTATTATTTTTTTATAATTATGATTATAATTGTAATTTTATTTAAGTTATATTTTTAATTACAATTATAAATCTAATAATTATAATTATAATTACAATTATAGAAATATTCAAATCAGATCAGAAAGATTCAGATCAGAAGAATTCAGATCAGATCAGAAACTTTCAGATCAGATCAGAAACATTCAGATCAGATCAGATCAGATCAGCAACATTCAGATCAGTTCAGCAACATTCAGATCAGATCAGAAAGATTCAGATCAGATCAGAAAGATTCAGATCAGATCAGATCAGAAAGATTCAGATCAGATCAGATCAGATCAGAAAAATTCAGATCAGATCAGATCAGAACTTAAAAAATTCAGATCAGAAACATTCAGATCAGGTGAACGGAACAGCTTCTGAGGAGAAGAACTCAAAAACTCCATCCATCAACCAAGTCAATCATTCAATTTACAAACAAGACATTTGATGAATCTAATTTTGCAGGCGGCAATGGCTACTACAACAATCCCAATAACGGGCAATATGGGAACTGGAACCCAAATCAAATGCCGTCCAGCGATTATTTCGTGAAGATGCCACCGCCTCCTCCCAGCGCGGGAGTGAGTTCAGAGCACACCTGGCCCATCGGGCCGCCTCCGCCTCCGCCGCCACTGCACAGCAGCGACATGAGCTCCGCTGCATTCTCCGGGCCACATCAACCCCCAAAGCCACCTCCGCATCCATCCATGGCCCTGGGATTCAACCAGAGCAGCTTCACATACGAAGATCTGGCGGCCGCAACGGGCGGATTTTCGAAGGAGAAGCTATTAGGGCAAGGGGGATTCGGGTATGTGTACAAAGGGGTGTTGCCGAACGGGAAGGACATCGCCGTGAAATGCCTGAAGACTAACAGCGGGCAGGGGGAGAGGGAGTTTCAGGCGGAGGTGGAGATAATCAGCCGCGTCCATCACCGTCACCTGGTGTCTCTGGTCGGCTATTGCATTTCTGGGGCTCAGAGGATGCTCATTTATGAGTTTGTTCCTAACAATACTCTTGAATATCATCTTCAAGGTAACATATACAAACATTTGATCACTCTCTTTTTATTTTATATATCATCTTCAAAGTATATACTAGTATGAATTTTTAAAATTTAGTCATTTTTTGTGATGTTAAAGTCTGAAAAAATAATTACACGAATATAACTAAAAAAAATGATGTTTATAAAAATATAATTTCCTAATTGTAGTCACTATATAGTAACTTAATCGTAGTAACCTATACTTTACTTTCACATTTAAGTTACTGTGATATTATACTACAATAACGATTAGTCATATTTTCTTAAATATGTTTTATTTAGTAATATTTTAAAAAAAATCCTAAAGTTTATCGTAGGAAAAATAAAAAAAATAAAGTTTTAGAAGACGGAAAAGATGGAACTAGTATTATTTCAATAAAGAAACGTGATTTTATACATAAATACATGTATATTTATGTGTAACAGTCATTTATTAATTTTTGAAAAGTTATTTAAAGTCCATTTGATACTACCAAAATTGGCTCAATCTGCTGATTGGCTGGATTATGGAAAAATATTTAAAATGTATTTCATTAATAAAATAAAAAAAAAATATATGAAAAATAGCTATAATGGTTTTCTACAATAACTTCAGTCAATTTAGGCAGAAAATAACTCCAATCCTACTTATTTTGATTATTACAAAAACTGAAAAACAAAAGTTACATGTTTGATGAAAATGTTGATTAATAAGATTGATAAACCCAAAAATAGGGTCACCAAACAGACTGTTAACTCTTTAACACTAAATAAGTAGGTGTAATGTGCATGTACATAAAAATGTGCAGAAACATATAGCAGGTACATGTAACATGTAATGTGAACTTCTAAATATACTGTATGATTTATATAATCAAGTAAATTTTTTTAAATGTATTTTGGATACATCAATACTGTGGATGTTTTATAAGTGAAACATTGCAGCTCCTGGCCGCCCTGTTATGGACTTCGAAACAAGGCTCAAAATTGCACTGGGAACGGCCAAAGGTTTTGCCTATCTACACGAAGATTGTGAGTTGAAAGCCTTATTATAGTAATTCATTAATTTCGTTCATGATCAAAATTGTGGGAAATGATAATTAAACTTGGTTTTTGAATATATTGCAGGCCACCCTCGCATCATACATAGAGATATCAAGGCTGCAAATATTCTCCTAGACTACAATTTTGATGCCAAGGTATTATAGGGGTATTATATTTACTCCCATAGGGTTCTAAAATTGAGTCTATCCATTTATTTACATATTTCTATTTTACTAAAACTATCAATTAAGTGCTTTATATGTCACGAATAATTTTAGGAAATTTCCTCTTTATTATATTTATTCTTTTCATTTTGAACGCAATTTCTTGTTCATTCTAAACATCACTTTTAAGAATTGTAAGTTAATTCTTTATTAACAAAGGTATTCTAAGGTTTTTATAATATACATAAGGATCAGTTAAAATAAAAAGCAGTCTTAACGTGTAAAATACAAAAATTTCACTATTATAGCACTACAGTGCACTTTTATGTTCATATAGTCCACTTTTGTAAGTTTGTAAAAAGCTCCACTTATTTACAAAACTGTCGCTGCGTTCTTTGCAAAAGTGTGCATTTTACCAATGTTTAAATGCAGTAGCTCTTCATACAAATGCACTATAGACAGTTATAAGTGTATTTTGTACGTTAATTTTTTTGTTTGATCCTAAATCTAGCTTTAAGAAAGAAAAACAATAACAAGGACCAAAAAACCATAAAACAATGTATTTTGGCATTTTTGTTTTGACTAAAATGGTAATGGTACATCATTCCACCAGATGTCCAATCTGAATTCTACCACTAGCAGAGTTTCTCATTTCTAGTTACTTGAGTAATTTTTGATGTTTTTGAAATAGTGAGCCCCAATTGTCAGGAAAGAGATCCAATGTACGTAGTACTTCGTATTACTTTTGCTTACTCCATAGTCCATACCATTATAACTGATTCTATCAGAATATGTATGTAAAAGTCAACAGAACTACATAACAATCTAGAGTTCTTTTTTTAGTCAATAAAAGTCAACTAAAAGCTTTCTAAGCTCTAACATGTTCATTTCTTTCCTCTTAAATCCACGATAAGTGTAGACTGTCTAGTGCTACATGGGTTTTGTACATTTTTGTTTACTTTCATATGTGGAGCACATTGATGAGGTGTTGAATAGTTATTCAATTTTATACCCTACGAATGTATACAAAGAATGTATAAAATTCTTGTGCGTTATCCTTACTCTTAAATATATGTTCCCAAATAAAACATACATTTAAACCCCTGAGAAAATACTGCTTATCCAGCACATGTGAAATCACGTCGTTTTGAATTTACAAAGCACATTTTCAAATCATTTAGCATACCGCCTCGGTGCCTCATTTAATTACTTTGAAATTTGGTTTAGATAGATATACACAACCATATGTGAAGTGATGAATGATCATAGTTTATCCATGCTTCATCATATAGGTGGCTGATTTTGGATTGGCTAAGCTCTCAAACGATACCAACACTCATGTCTCTACGCGCATCATGGGAACATTCGGGTGAATACACCACACACCATTTTATGATCTTTCAATTGATTTGGACATTTACTTTCTGGGCTAAAGTGTCATTCTTTTATTTCCTTAAAAAAAACTTTGGTTTCTTCATTACATATGACTTTCCATTATCATGAACTTCACTCAGGTACTTGGCACCAGAGTATGCGGCTAGTGGCAAACTCACAGAAAAATCAGATGTTTACTCTTATGGTGTTGTGCTCTTAGAACTCATAACTGGGCGACGCCCCATAGATGTGAATAATGACGATGATGACAACTTAGTTGATTGGGTATGTATGTTATTATGCATATAGTGATATAGATTTATCCTAGAATCAATCAATGTTGAAATATTTTTACAACCATGATGTGGGCCTTTATGAATAGATAATGCCAACCATAATGAACCAATGGTTGAACAATAAATTAATGAAAAAATAAATAAATGATAGCAGATCCTCACAGAGTGCAACACACCTTTATTCCCTAATGTGGTTTTGGAGTTGTGATATGTCATCCTGCCCCGCAAAATATAAAGAAAAAAATAAATGAATGATGATTATCATGTTGACCTTTTAGTATGAATCCTCATGTTTCCTTTTATGACAAAAACTCAAATTTTAATAGTTTGCACTTTACACGCAGCACATGCATACTTAGTGTTGTTATTATTTGTATTAATCAAAATGCAGGCAAGGCCTATTCTGGCAAGTGCTGTAGACGGTGGAAGTTTTGAAGAGATTGTGGATCCGCGTTTGGAGAACAACTATAATTCGAATGAGATGCGACGCATGGTGGTTTGTGCAGCTGCTTGCATTAGGCATTCTGCGAGGAGACGTCCAAAAATGAGTCAGGTTTGTACTTGGATGTCTCATTAGAGCTGACAAGCCAATGATATAATATTAGGTACTATCATTTGTATTAAACTCCCAATAGGCTTATCACAGGTTTTAAGCAGAAATTGCAAGTATAGTTAATATTAGAAAGGGGTAGATAGATGAAAAAGTAAACAAACAAAGATGAAAAGGTAAAAGTTTTATGCATTTTAATGGGAAAGTATATGTCAAATTAAAAAAGTGGAGCAAATATAAAAAAAGTTCCACAATGAAATACAAAACGTAGAAACACATGGAGTATATCATATAACGGTCTAGTTTGGTCATAGTAATCGTATTAATCAAATAAATGTATAGCCTTTGTGTCACTTATTATTCAGCTGAAGTTGATTTCAACAAATGTTGTTCATTTCAGCCAAATAAAATTTTAGGATGACTTTATGGTTCGAGACTTCCTCCTATTTTCACTTAGGGCTGGATTTGGTTCGGGTACCAAACTGAAATCAGAAATTTTAAAAGCGAACTGACATTTCGGTTCTCAAATTTCTAAAATCAAAACCGAACCAATACTTGAGCAGTACCAATATTTCAGAAAACCAAAAACTGAACTTTTATACTGTTTTTTCGGTTTGGTTCGATCTGAACTGATTTAATATTCTAAGAACTGTTATTAAATCAACTATAATTCGGGTACTAACTTTCGGGTCCCAATCCAAGTCAGTTTGATTCAATATTTTCGATCTGGTTTTTCCGGGTTTTCGGTTAAAAATGCCATCTTTTTTTCACTTATTGGTGTTGCATTGTTTGGCTTGCACAGATTGTGCGTGCGTTGGAAGGTGATGTCTCGTTGAATGATCTAAACGAGGGAATGAAATCTGTACCCAGCACACTCTTTGGATCTGGTGAGGGTTCAGATTATGATTCTCATTCTTACACCGACACAAGGGGGCAGAGATCAGGGGCATCAAGTCAAGAGTTCTCTAGCAGGGAGTTTGTCAATTCCACAGGTGATCAATCTGGGGAGTACCGGAAAAATGGTAGCTAAACGCACCATAGTCCTTAGAATCAATTTTTTTACTTCCAAGATTTGATGGGAAATGATTATACTCCACAAATTGGAGTTTTTGGAGTTGTCATATATGATTTACGTGAATGATGACTAACGAGTTTAACTACTAATCTATTTTCAGTTTTTTCAATGTTAAGTGTATAGTGAAAGCAACCAAAAATAGCATCCAATCGTGCATTTTGTATTTATTTTGATCTGTTGCTGCAAACACAGTCAGTTTCACATTATAGCCGAATACAAGGGTTTGGAAATTGGAATGAAGCCATTGAAATTTCCTTTAATAACTTAACATTTTTTAATTTATCTTGCTCTAGAAGAGTTGAGGAAACTCTACTATTGCATGGCCCAAAATACTATTGTGTGTAAGTGTGTGTAGGAAAAGTGTGTACCTCAAGTTGAATTGATGCCACGGCACAGATTCGGGCCTCCTTGTCAATATGATATAGGCAAGAGTAGTCACACATCTATGGTCAAGCATCATCGTGAGTTTTAGACGTCAAAACTCTATGGTTAAACACTTCGATTGACGGTCGACGAGGTCGAGGTTAGAAGCTTCATGATCAAGGTTAGCCGTTGGTCGGTGGCGTAAAGTCTCTAGGATTGAGAACTATCTTTCATCATTATAGTCTCAATTTGATTTTGTGGTCTTCTAGGTGGACATTTGACCGTAATTATCTTTAAATATATACTTATATAATCTATAATAAATTGACATTTGAATAATGCATATTACAATGAAGCACATTACATAATTTTTTTGCAATAAAATATTGTTAATTTTGAATAATAAACGGTCAAAGCTTAATAAATTTGACTCAAAAGTCAAAGTTGCACTTTAATTAAGAGACAGAGCTAGTAGTTGTTATAAAATTGATAGAGTTGTAAATTTTCATTCACGTGTACCATGTTTGGAATGAAGCCAAACACGGGGTTCAGGGTTACACGATTGCTAAACCTTGATAAATCATACATAAATTTAGCTCTGGTTGTGTAGCAAATTTTCAGTAATGAAATATTCTTAGGAAATTGATGCATATACTCGAATGAGGCAGGTTCATAGTCAGCGGCGGACGTGGGAATATTTTATTGGCGGGGGGGTGGCGAAATAATAAGGGACGGATCCAGGATTTTGAGTCAAGGGGGGCGAAATTTTTCGTTAGTGTACGGGGTGATTTTTTTTTTGTTAGTGTAGCGGGGTGAATTTTTTTCTTCTAGTGTAGCGGGGCGAATTTTTTTGCTACTGTAGAGCTATGCGGCTATTTTTATTCAAAAAATGACATTAATACTTGCACATCCCGAACCGGCATTTAAATCTATTACATTCTAAGTTTAGACGATGACAAAGACATCAACCAATACATTTTTAATAACTTCTACATTGTTTAACCTCATGAATCGGTTATTGAATTGTAATTTTTGTCCACCAAGGAGGGTGCATGGTCGTGAGTCATGACTCATGAGAAGTTTTCTTAATATTACAATAGTAATATACTAGTATGTATGAGATTGTTATTTTTAGAATAATATGCACCACATACACACACACACACATATATGGTGCATACTATATTTTAATATTTTTATTAATTCTATAATAATTTAAAGTTTATTATCCATGCAGTAAATTATTTTTAGAAAGCAAGAAGTAAATGAATTATGTAATCTAATGTCTATAAATATTAATATATTGGATTCATTTCACGTGATCTAAAAATTGTGTAATTAGTGTGTCTGGTATTTAATATTGTTTGATATATGTTTTACAAAATCATGTACTTGTTATCTAATAAAGATAATTAAACATTACAAAACTAGGAATTCTTATATAATAAGTATCCTAAATCTTAAATAACGAGTTACTCTATTGTTTATTTGTTTAATTTATGTAAATTATTTTAGATGTTTCTTCTTTTAAATCTCCAATATAATTAAGTATTACATTATGTAAGACTATATACTAATTTTGAAAGTTAAAAGCTAAGGGGGGCGAATATAATTAAATTATGAAAGTTTTATGAAAATTTTACATATATGGTAAAAAAAAATTGAATGTCCAAGGGGGGCGGTCGCCCCCCCGCGCCCCCCCCCCTAAATCCATCCTTGGCGGCGATGTAAAAAAATACATATAAATACACATATATTAAAATTTCGGGGTAAATATACCTAGGAAAAAAATGGAGGGGTAGTGGCCCCCATTAGTCACTCCCTATGTCCACCATTGTTCATAGTATTGAAATGAGAAACAAGTCAAACAACTATAATTTTGAAATTAAAAGTACAGCTCCAAGTTCTCGTATAAAAGATCTCAATGAAGATACTTTGTAGAAAATACTACTCTAATAAAAATTAATAGTTCCAATAAATGATTTTTAAGAGTTTTTGATTATTTTTGGGGTGTTCTCTATAAAAAAAAGTTGGCGCTTGTATCTGTAAGGATACATGTGTCTGAGTTATTAATCATTATAAAAAACAGTTGGGAACTTTTAATAAATTATAGGTACGATCCCGGAATGTATGATACATGTATTTTAGAGTATCTGAGACGAGTGCATTTTTCATTCGCCAATACGATACCCTACTCCCTATGTTGCACGGATACTGATACCCGTGATACGTCGATACGCGAATATGAGTACAACGATACGGCAATTTAAAAAATTATAGGATACAGGTACAAGACATATTTATAAATAATAAAAATATAGAGTATAATTTGCAAATATATATAATTTAGAGGTTCACAAATAAAACAATAATAGTACAAATAATTAACTATTATTATAAAATTTCAAAGATTAGGCTAAAAAACGAAAGTACATATATTTCGATTTAAATTCAAATAATATTTTTGTTCTCTATTTGTATTTACATCTAAGTCTTGTTTCAATTAAAACCCATCAAACGATAAAATGATAAATTATAGTATTCCAATATTTTTCATACTCCCGAAATCATCTTTATCAATGTTCCACATTTTGTGGTCGCTTGTGCGGCTACTAAATTTTTGTCATGTCATATATGAAATAAGGGTTATAGGGTTAGATACGAGTATCAGAAGTATCAATATTTTTAACAGAAATTGTCCTAAATAGGAGTAAAAACGTTTTGAAATTCCAAAATAGGAGTATCATGTTTTTTATTCCCTGAATAGAAGTAATCTGCTAAATTTGGAAGAAAATACCATGTTTAAAGCCTTGTAATGCCCAAACTTGGCAGAAATTTACTCCTATTTAGGGAATAAAAAACATGATACTCCTATTTTGGAATTTCAAAACGTTTTTACTCCTATTTAGGGAATTCTCTCTATTTTTAAAAATAAACCCAATACTTTTATTAAATTAGTGATACAGATTTAATACGTACATGATGCATATCAATGACTATCGATATCGAATACGTATCGGATATGTGGATACGACATCGGGGTGAAGTATCGGTAAACCATAAGCTATGTGAAATTTTTTTATGGATGGGGGCAAATTAGTCATTTCATATTATATTTGTGATGCCCTATATCTGACCTTATAAATACCTAAATCTCACCGGATGATACTCAGGAAAGCAGCATAGACGTAAGCACAATCCTGATGGATTGCTCTACATTATTTTTCAACTTCAAAAATGTGATAAAGCTCGATGATGCAGTGAAAACTACTGTTGTCTGGCTCCACGATTTCTTTGTATAATAATACTTGCAAGGTATGTTCTTCATTTTATTGATTTTTTTTTGAAAAAAATCATGTGTGTGTTAAAGTAGAAGACTTCTCTTTCATTTGTATGAACTACAGAGTTTAGCTGAATATATCTTAATCTCTCTAATTCTCCTTAGTTTTTTAATTCTATAATACTTTTGTTCCGTTTCATAATATGTATCAACATAATTGCTCCTAATTCTGAAAATCTTCGATCACCAACTCATTCAACTTTTAATTTGCAAGTATATTTCAAATCTTGTCTCCCACTTCAAAAAATTCGTAAATTTGTGTAGGAATTTGGTGCCTGGTTCTGAATGAGACAGAAATTGAATTTAGATTGTGAAAAACATTTCCCGATTATCATTGAATAAATTTGTTGAAGAATTCGAATTATTGCTTCGCTCCATGCGCTGCCAAGGCCAATAGGCCATGGTAGCTGTTAAGACCGTGCTGGGCTCAGCACTTGCAAGCTAAGTCAGCTTCATTGCATAGCATGAACTACTATTAGATATTTTTTGCTTGAAATTATTGGTATTTAAGTAAAAATAATAATTGGTCGAAATTTGATATTTTCATTTCTGAAGTGGGTTATCATTAATAATAATTAATTAATTATGTCTTAAATTGAAGTATCAACATTCAATCTGATGCTAGGTTAGGTATTTAACCCGAGTAAAATAATGTTTAGTCTTTTGTTATTGCATTGAATCAGACCATCTCCAATCGTTTACACCATTTTTTACATTAAAATGGAATAAATATCACACCATACAGTATTTATCTCCAACAGTTTACATTATTTTTATCACTAAAAAGGAATATGCTTTTTTATTCTTTTTACTAACTTTTCACCATTATTATCTTTAATTAATTCTCTAATTATCATATACTCATACATTAGTCCCTCATTTAATATGTCTTTTGGCATTTCACTCATTATTTCATAAATACAAGCTAAAATACTACTTAATCAATGTTCACCCATGTTTCACGCATTTCACTCATTAAAAAATACAATAATTAATATTTCACACACACCTGCTAAAGCCTTATAAAATTAAATATTACATAATTTTATAATAATTCATACGTCATAAATAAAATACCACTTAAATTTAAAGCAGTAAATTAAATAATTATTCTTAGTTTAGTTGTCGCAATTTGAGAATTCTTCCCACAAATAATCAATTAAAGCATTGTGAAGCTCAATATGAGTGTTTCTGCATTTGATTTTTCGAAACGACTAACAGGGGTCAAAAAGCCAAATTGAAGAAGAAAATTGGTAAAGACACCACTGTTTTGCTTAAGTCTGTTAATAGTGACAATGAGCAACTTATAGTGATGTTGAAGAAATCATTGTTAGATAGACATGAACAATTGGAAATCCAGCGACAAAATATGGCATATAAAAACATAGGAGAGAAGATAAAATTATGTTCATGGATTTGAAATCTATTGACGATCCATAAGCTGACAAGCGCGAGCGTGTCTCATTATAGAAAGATAAAAAATTATAAAAAAAATCTCAAGAAGGAGGCTCATCTGGTGGATTTGGGAATCTATTTGATGGTCTTGGAGGGTCTGGAAGCGGGATGAGTGACTACTAATTTCTTAATTAGTACTCCCTCTGTCCCATTTTATAGGATGTCTTTACTATTCACTTGGTCAATACAAATTATTATTAATCTCTTGCTTTATACATCAAATTTTTAAGAAATTTGAATTATTTTTTTGCAGGTTTTGTAGCGGTCTTAATTTAGTTTGTGAATATGTGATTCTTTTTTTCTAAAATTAATTTGAGTGCAGACAGGGATCTGTTTGCTTTATCATCGGTCAAACATCGTAAACCGAAAAGTAACTTATAATTTGGGATAGAGGGAGTATGTATTATGTATGATTTTAATAATGTTTTTTTTATTTTTAATTATGTTATTAATTGTGATTTTAATTATGTTATTTTCTTAAGTATCATTTGTAGGGGTGGGCACAGTCCGAGATTCGGCTTATCCCGATCCCGTCCCGGTTTTATAACAATGGTCCGGTCCGGTACGGGATAAGTCTTTATCCCATTGTTGTCCCATTTAAAACGGGATCAGGACAACCCGAGAAAAACCGGGACGGATCGGGATGTCCCATAAAATATACATTTGTGAAATGTGATATAAAAATAAGCATAACATCAAAATAAAAACGTAACTATTTTTGCAAATTTAGCTTCTCTAAAAAGATAAGTAAAACCTCTAATTAACTATTTTTATTTTTTTGTCTTGTAAATTTTTTTGCTCCCCCTAATCTTGTGTTTCCTCTAGTAGAATAGTAGCGGCAAATATTTTTATATATATTTTGTAGTATACTTGTAATTTTTCAATACCACATTAAATTAAATATCATATCTATAAAGACACTATACATATTTTCTAGTAGTTATTTTGGAAAAAATTAAATCTATAACAACACTATAATTTGGAGTAGTAAATATTCCATCATAATTCGTATTCCAAACGTAATAATATATTACTACGTATGGATTAGTATTGGAATGAGAATTAAACAAATTTTAATGAAAAAAAAAACAAAAGAAATGAGACTAAGAGAGACATGAAATAAGATAAAATGACACTAGGGAGACTAAGGACTAGAAAGTTTTAATTGTGTTTGAGTATTACATAGCATTAGAAATTTAAAATAACATATTAATTTCAAACGGGACACCTGGACGGGACATGATATTTTATAGCTATCCCGGTCCCGTCCCGGTTAATATCGGTGCGGGACCGGTATGGGATGAAAAAATTGCGTCCTAAATGGATCGGGATAGTTTCAGAACGGTATCAGGATTTTTCGGTTTGGGACACCGGGACCGGGATTTTTGCCCACCCTTAATTATTTGTATTATGTTATTATGTTGTTTCGATTTGAAAATTTATTTATAATATTGTGTGATTTAATTTTTTTTATCAAATTTATAATTTAATTTTGTTGTTCTAAAACTGGGTCAAAACTATAACAACCAAAATTTTAAGTCACTTTTGAAAAAAGGTAAAATAATAAAAAACGAAAGTTGACACATTACAAACACACTTCATGACTTTCTATAAATTTAACGAGCCTTGTGTGTGTAGTTACCCGATGAACCATTCAGTGAACTTTCATTTCTGAATCTTCACCGGGTTGAAATTGGGAAGAGATTAAAATTTCCCTCTAAGTATCAATGTAGCCCTTTCACAAACCCCTTGAAAAAACGTCCTAAAGAATTGAACTTCACTCAGGCTACTCCATTGAAGGATTGGACGGATCAACCAGGTACACTTGTAGACCTTCATGTAGCCGGTTTACCGGATGTCGATCGGACATTTTTTTGTGACCTCCTTATGCCCGATAAATGGTTGGCCGGTTATGTAAGTGTATATCGTTTATTGGTACAAAACTTATTTATAGTTACAAAACTCATAACTCGTTTCTTATTTTTTTCCAATCACATTTTGTAGCATGTGGATGCTATCATATACTTGATCAATAAGGAGAGGAGATGGCCGAAAACTACATTAATGGAGCCTTATTTTATGGTATACATACGAGTGACCTTTTATGCATTTGTTCTTAATTCATAATTTTTTATTATCCCTTGCCATTGTTTGTAACAACTCTTGAACAAAAAATTTGACAACATCACGAAGTGGGAGGGAGATCGCCATCTCGTGAAAACGAATTGGTCTGCATAGAAACATTAATAAACATTGTGTTTAATGCCTTAGGTTTTGACACCCCCCTAAATGTGGGGAATTCGCATTGGGTGTTGGTTCAAATAGACCTTCGTGCAAAAATGTTAAGAGTATATGACTCCATGAGAAGTGGATGGACCGTGGCATCCATAAAGGACTTGTGGGATCGCCTCCCCCACCTCCTACATATTATTACGTGGAGAACAGAAGATTACGTCGCAGACGACCTTTGTTAGTAATATACGGTAAGCGAATGATACAGTAATACGTACGTTCGTGTATAATACGGTGCACTTTTATAAAATACGGCTAAATATATATTTTATACGTTCGGAACAAGAATACGGATACGTACGCGTCTAATACGGATACATATATCATTTAAAAATATAGCATATAATAAAGGTTTACACTAGTTTCACTAAATTATTGATACAAAGAAATGTTTAGTTAACATCTCAACATTTTTCAATAATATATTATAAGATGCAATTCTTAAAAATGTAATACTCTGTAATATTTATAAAAATATTAATAGACCTACTTTTAGATAAAATAAAATAATCATAAAAAAATTTAAATGCAACACTCTAATTGGTTTATAATTGTGTAAGAAGTTTATAAAATGTAAAAAAAAGTTTATAAAATGTATATTCATTACAAAAAAACTCGCTTGTAGTCACAGACTTTAGTCACGGATTTGGTCCGTGACTAGTTTTGTCACGGACTTGTCACGGATATTTAAAAAAAAATAGTCACGGATCTAACCGTGATTATGACCGTGACTAAATTTAGTCACGGTTAGATCCGTGACTAAAGTGGTCCGACAACTCCGATTCCGTTTCCGACGGCGTTTGTTTTACACCGGCGACTTAGTCACGGACACATCCGTGACTAAATCCGTGTCTACTAAAAAAATTTAATTTTCCAGCGCTCAGAAATTAATTCCCAACGGTATTCTGTACGGATAAATTTAGTCACGGACATTTTCGTAACTAATTCCGTGACTAAATCGAATAAAATTATTCGCACGCGTAATTTACATGTCATTTACACGGTTTGGACGCGTAATGTACACAGATTTGCTTAGTGACGGACAAATCCGTGACTAGTGTTTTTATATATGCAGGACCTGCTCATTTAGTAGAACCACACCAATTCATTTCCAGTATATACAGTATCTGTTTGAAAGATCCAAGGTCGAAACATGTAGTTTATCTTATGTCATTTTCCTCGTTTATGCAGATAAGGTATGTTATTTGAATTATTATTTTTTATTTGGAACTAGTTAGTTCAATTTAAATTATTAAAACTATTAAATTAGTGAGGTTGTTAATTAATTAACAGTATATTTAACTAGAAATGTGGTGATGTCATAACATTAGTAAAAATTTTAGGTTTACAAAATAATTTAATTAAAATTAGTTAGCTAAATGTAGGTTTAAACGTAGTGATGTGTTAATTAAGTTAAATTAGTTAGCTAAACGTAGGTTTAAACGTAGTGATGCATTAAGTAAAATTAATTAGTTAAACGTAGGTTTTAACTAATTAAGTTAGATTCGTTAAACTTTTGATAATATTAGTTAAATTTAAATATTAGTTAATTGAAATGTTTTTAAAAAAAGGTTGTTAATTAATTAACGAAATGAATTAGTTAAATTTAGTTAAACGTAGGTTTAGTTTAATGTAGTGTTAAATTACTTAAATTTTTTATAATATTAGTTAAATTTAAGTATTAGGTAATTACTTATATTTTGTGCATTATTATTGTGAATTGTGTGCATTTCATTTAATTTAGTGAAAATTAGTTAGTTCATTATTTGGTGAAATAAATTACTTAAAATTAGTTAACTCTTGGTATTATTGTTACATTAATTACCTTAGTTTTGAACCCGTATAATTTTTTATTATAATATTCAGGCATAATGTATAAACAAAATAGAAGTTGGATGTATGATAAAGATGCAGTATTGTACGGAATGCAATCAAATGTTTTCAATGAAGTCGGGAAATTTATTGAATTCGCACTTGAACATCCGACTTATATGAGTGGTGATAAAATAAGATGTCCATGTTCAAAGTGTAAAAATCTCAAATTTAAAGACCCACACGAAGTTGGCTATGATTTGTACGCGGTCGGTTTTGTTCCCAATTATTATAATTTCACTTCTCACGGCGAACCTTTGGATCCATCTGTTATATTACAAACGGTAGGTTCGTCTCGTTACGTCCCTCCAGAGATGAGTGGGTGGGGAGATCGTGCTGAAATGAGGTGGGAACAAGAAATGGTATATGACGCATACGGTGTATCGATGTCTCAGTTCAACCCCCCACAACCATCTAACGACCCCGCTGAAGCCTCGATCTCGTATCAACCAGATGCGGATGAAAATCCGTCATTTTATCAATCTTATGTGGATGAAGGTTTGGCTGAGAGATTTCAGGATGTTCTAAATGCTGCCGACCAATCTCTGTATGCTGATTGTGAGGGATACACTCAGCTATCCGCCGTTACAGAGTTTATGAACATAAAAGCCGAATACAGTCTCCCTGAAACTTGCATGAATAGAGTCTTGCAGTCAGTAGGAGGGATGCTACCGCGTGATCATACCCTTCCCGATTCATATTACCACATGAAGTAGTTAATGTCCAAGTTGGGGCTACCTTGTGTCGAAATTGATGCGTGCCTGGAAGGATGTATGTTGTTCTGGAAGGAGGATGGGGCACTTGAGTTTTGCAAGTTCTGTGGTGGAGACAGATACAAACCTGTTCCTCAAAGTAAAAAGAAACCACGACATAGGTCGGCACTGTCTAAACTGTATTACCTTCCAATAGCTCATTGACTGCAGAGGATGTACGCTTTGACTGCTACTGCGAAACACATGACATGGCATGTTGAGCACGAAACCAATGAGGGTATGATGGCTCACCCTTCGGATTGTGAGGCCTGGAGATACTTTGACCGTTATCATCCTCAGTTTGCTATGGAGCCACGAAATGTGCGGCTGGAATTGTGCTCAGACGGATTTGCTCCTTTTGGCAGGTTTGGGAAGAACTATTCATGTTGGCCGGTCATGTTAACTCCTTACAATCTCCCTCCCGACATGTGCATGAAAAGTCATTTCATCTTTTTGTCTTTAATTTGTCTGGGTTCCAAGGATCCTGGAAGAAAGATAGACATTTATCTTCAACCCCTTATCGAGGAGACGAACTTATGATGTTTCATCAGATCAGGTGTTTATCATGAAAGCTGTCATCATTTGGACCATTAGCAACTTCCCTGCCTATGACATGCTTTCTGGATGGAGCACACACGATCTGATGGGATGTCCGATATGCATGGAGAAATCAGGTGCGAACTGGCTCAGTTACAGTAAAAAAGGAAGTTACTTTGATTGTCACCGCAATTTTCTCCCGGAAAAGCACCGATATCGAAAGGACAAAAAGTCTTCCATTAGAGGCAGAGCGGTACGAGAGAGCGCACCCCTGAGATTGACCGGCGAAGAAATTTATAACCGGGTTCGACGTCTTCCTACAGCTATGGAAGAGCCAAACCAGGAACCACACGGGTTTTGTCATACCCATAAGTGGACAAAGAGGAGCATATTCTGGGAGTTGCCATATTGGAAAGACCTTCTCATCCGTCACAATTTAGATGTAATGCACACTGAGAAGAACGTGTTTGACAATATATTTAACACGGTGATGGATTTCAAAGGCAAAACTAAAGACGGTCTTGCAGCTAGGAAAGATATGACTATTTGGTGTGATAGACTCGAACTTTCTGTTGATCTAGAATATCAGGGCAAGGAAGTTCCAAAAGCAGTTTACCAGTTGACAGAAGCACAAAAGGAAGCAAGGTTATGTTTTCTTTTCATTTGTATTTCTTTAATATTTGATTTAAATTCCAAAAATGCATGATGATATACTAAAATGGTTTGTTTCTTGAATATTGCATGCTCTTTTTTCTATGCTACTTTAATTTTAATATATACCCGAAAAAAATGTATATTTTTAAAAATAATTGTTTTTTTTTAGTTTGATGATTTATATGCATGCTTATAATATTCATGGATAGAATTTATTTGTTTATTTTGTTTGTATGTCAATTATCCATGTTTAAACTATGCTCAATATATTTTCGGATTTATGCATGTTTATACAATTAGTTTGATGTTTTATATGCATGCTTGAAAATTTTTATAAGCATTTCCTCCAAAAATATGCATGAATTTTTATTTTGTTCAAAAAAATATCGCTTATATTTTAGTTTGATGTCTAATATGCATGATAAATCTTTAGATATGCATGGAATTTCTAATGTTTGTAGGGTTTTTTGTAAATTATTTTTGGACTAATAATGAAGCATGCTCAATAAGATTTTTGGACATTATTAGGATTATTATTATTATTTTATCGTCTATCAATATTATTATTCCCGAATTATTTTAAAGAAACAGTCCCTCGTGTTAAACTTCCAAAAATAGTTTAACATGTTTAATTATAATTTCCGAAATAGATAATAAGAAAGTCGTAAACATTCAAAATATATATAACAAATTGATTCCCAAAAAATATATATATTAACTGTTTTAAAAGAAGTGTTTTGAAAAAATTGTTTTTATCTAAACTGTTTTATGTAAACTGTTTTATATAAAAACTCTTTTTATAAAAACTATTTTATATAAACTGTTTTAATAATTTATCTAAAAGAGATTGTTTTCTAAAAATTGGATAAAAAATTCAGTTTCCAAATTACTGTTTTTATAGAAAGTATAAAAACTGATTTTTATAACAGTTTTTCTAAAAACAGATTTTTGTAAAAACATTATTTTGTAAAAACTGATTAATAAACAGATTTGTTAAAAACAGTTCTTATTATATAAAAACAGTTTTCTAAAAAAAATTATACCGTTTTTATAAAAAAGTATATTGTTTTTCTAGAAAACAGTTTTTATAAAAACTGCTTTTTATTAAAAAAGTTTACTGTTTTATAAAAGAGTATATTGTTTTTCTAGAAAAAAGTTTTTATAAAAATTTTTTTTTTATAAAAAAAGTATATTGTTTTTATAATCTATTACTGTATTAATAAACTGTTTTAAATAAGTAAACAGGTTTTTTTATAAAATATATTTTGTAATAAACTGTCTTTACAAACTGTTTTTTACTGTTTTTATATAAAAACCTTTTTATATAAGCTGTTTTTGAAAAAAAAAAGTATATTGTTTTTATAATTTTTTAAAACTGTTTATAAAAAGTGGATAAAACTCATATATCTAAAACATAAAAAAAATGATGTCCTCTCATGTAAACTTTGCAAAAAGTTTAACATGTTACTTCTAAGAGCAATTTATTTCCAAGTTATAAATGAACTTATGGTGAAAAAATATGGACCCCTCATATTAAACTTATACACAGTTTAATATGTTATACACATTTTCAATTGATAATACTTATATAAAAATTTGATCTTCTATTATAATCATACTTACATCAAACAAAATAAATTAATATATCTTAGATGACTGACGAACAATCAACATCTCGTGACCGCCCTAACTATGCGCCCATGACCGAAGCCGAGCGCAACACTGAAAGTGCGGTTTGGGTGACACCTCACCAAGTTGCTCAGTAAGTAGTTATGAACAAACCTTATGTCAAATAATTTTATATAATATCAAATAATATAACCAAATCTTGTATAAATAAATACTATTAATTTTTTGAAGTGACAAAGAAGTGTTCGAAGGCATCAAAAACATAATAGGAGGACACTTTCTTGGCAATTGGGCCACCTACACGGATGTTGACCCCAAGGTCCGCGAATTATGGTGGAACCTATTCAAGGTAAAAATAAATGAATGTTTCATGCGTAATTGTAGTAGCCTAATATATAACAAATGATTAATTAATCCAGTTTTTTAATAAAGGGTCGCTTTCGTTGGACTCACGCACACGGTGATGCTATTCTTAGAGCCTATAATGCTAGGATTTCGACCAGGGTTCGGCCCACTTTTAAGCGTGCCCGAGCGTGTGCGAGGCAGCCTAGATGGGTTTCGGATGAAGTGTGGGCCAACCTTTGTCGCCACTGGTCTTCGGATCCGAAATTCTTGGCCAGAAGTGAAACCGGTAAGAAAAACCGGATGTCTGAGAAGGCCTTAGAGACACAGTGGCACGGGGGTCGCAAATCTCAGAGTGCCCATAGAGAAACTCTTGTAAGTGCTATTCAAAAAACCTTACACCATTACAACCCTTCATTATAAAAAATTTATTTAAGCCTTTTTTCGCACCATGTAGACTGGGCCTGAGAAGAATAAGGTTGAAATTCTCAGGCTCGTCAAGCATTGCTAGACTGCCACCCGCCTCGCTGAATTCGAAGTATGTAACATCTTATTTTGTTATTTAGTAACATTTCAAATCTAAGTATGTAGCATTTCAATATATTTTTAAATGCAGACGAAGTATAACGAGACTGTTGAGAGTAAGCGTGCGGAGTGAGGCTTGACCCAGGAGGACGAGCTCGATTCCGATGCGGATAATGAGGCGATCATTGAGGCGCCCGGGGTTTACAAGGGTCGGGTTCCGTGCCTGGGGGTCGAGGAGCAACGGATTTTGTATGATCGAAGCACCGGCGCTTCCTCTTCTCGATCAAGGCGGGGAGAAGATCCTCGTATTGCCCAAATGCAGCGTGAATTGGAAGAGCACGAGCGGCGATGGGAGGAGCAGCGGAAAAAAGAGGAAGAAACAAAAGCTAGGCTGGAGGAGATGGAACGGTTCATGCGTGCCGGATTCCAGCCTCCGCACCAGCCGGATTCATGCGTACGTATTGCACCCTGAGCAGACTCCTCAAGTTCTACACATGGGCGGTATGGGGTTTTTCTCTAACTCCGGATACGGTGGAATGCCTACGCCATGGACCCCGTGGAGGACCCCGAGGAGGTAGTGGAGGAGGTAGCCGAGGAGGAAGCCGACACGACGCCCCCGTGCAACAGCCCGAAGACCCCCCCATGGACCCACAAGATTTTCTTGTTGATGATAATGATGAACAATATGATAATGAAGATGATCCTAATTTTTATCATAATGGAGTCCGACGATGAACGGGCATGTAATCATACATTTATAAGTTTAACATTTCATATTACATTTAGAAGTTTGTCATAATTTTTATTAAGTTTGTTGTATGTGTTTTTTAATGTTTTAATTGCTTTACTGTTTAAAATGTATTTTTTCTTTAAAAAATTAGATTTTAAATAAAATCTAATAACATATTTTCTTTAAAAAAAATTTAAAATATAATTTTTAATTTTTTTGAAAATATAATCCGTAAAAACATTTTTTTAAAAAACGAAAAAACTTTTTTTTAAAAAAAACCAAAAACTTAGTCACGGTCCTAATCCGTGACTAAGGTTAGGACGGAATTAATTTTTTTCTTTTAAAAAAAAATATAGTCACAGATTAATGTCCGTGACTACTTCAAAATTTCAAAGATTTCAACATCAGAACCGCGGTTCTGATTTTCTATTTTTGATATTTTGAATTAGTCACGGATATTAATCCCTGACTATATTTTTTAAAAAAGAAAAAAAATTAATTCCGAACTAACCTTAGTCACGGATTAGGACCGTGACTAAGTTTTTGGTTTTTTTTTAAAAAAAAGTTTTTCCGTTTTAAAAAAAAAAGTTTTTACGGATTATATTTTCAAAAAAATTAAAAATTATATTTTAAATTTTCTTTAAAGAAAATATGTTATTAGATTTTCTTTAAAATCTAATTTTTTTAAGAAAAAATACATTTTAAACAGTAAAGCAATGAAAACATTAAAAAAACACATACAACAAACTTAATAAAAATTATGACAAACTTGTAAATGTAATATGAAATGTTAAACTTATAAATGTATGATTACATGTCCGTTCATCGTCGGACTCCATTATGATAAAAATTAGGATTATCTTCATTATCATATTGTTCATCATCATCATCAACAAGAAAATCTTGTGGGTCCATGGGGGGGGTCTTCGGGCTGCTGCACGGGGGGTGTCGGGTCGGCTTGCTACATTCCTCCCTGGGTTCCTCCTCGGCTACCTCCTCGGGGTCCTAGGCTTGCTGTCCTAGGAGCTCGTCCTCCTAGGTCAACATATAAAAATATATTGAAATGCTACATACTTGGATTTGAAATGTTACTAAATAACAAAATAAGATGTTACATACTTCGAGTTCAGCGAGGCGGGGGTGGCAGTCCAGCAATGCTTGACGAGCCTGAGAATTCCAACCTTATTCTTCCCAGGCCCAGCCTACATGGTGCGAAAAAAGGCTTAAATAATTTTTTTATAATGAAGGGTTGTAATGGTGTAAGGTTTTTTGAATAACACTTACAAGAATTTCTCTATGGGCACTCTGAGATTTGCGACCCCCGTGCCACTGTGTCTCTAAGGCCTTCTCAGACATCCGGTTTTTCTTACCGGTTTCACTTCTGGCCAAGAATTTCGGATCCGAAGTCCAGTGGCGACAAAGGTTGGCCCACACTTCATCCGAAACCCATCTAGGCTGCCTCGCACACGCTCGGGCACGCTTAAAAGTGGGCCGAAGCCAGGTCGAAATCCTAGCATTATAGGCTCTAAGAATAGCATCATCGTGTGCGTGAGTCCAACGAAAGCGACCCTTTATTAAAAAACTGGATTAATTAATCATTTGTTATATATTAGGCTACTACAATTACGCATGAAACATTCATTTATTTTTACCTTGAATAGGTTCCACCATAATTCGCGGACATTGGGGTCAACATCCGTGTAGGTGGCCCAATTGCCAAGAAAGTGTCCTCCTATTATGTTTTTGATGTCTTCGAACACTTCTTTGTCACTTCAAAAAATTAATAGTATTTATTTATATAAGATTTGGTTATATTATTTGACATTATATAAAATTATTTGACATAAGGTTTGTTCATAACTACTTACTGAACATCTTATATAATAAAAACTGTTTTTAACAAATCTGTTTATTAATCAGTTTTTACAAAAAACTGTTTTTAGAAAAACTGTTTTAAAAATCAGTTTTTATACTTTCTATAAAAACAGTAATTTGGAAACTGAATTTCTTATCCAATTTTTAGAAAACAATTTTTTTAGATAAATTTGTAAAACAGTTTATATAAAATAGTTTTTATAAAAACAGTTTTTATATAAAACAGTTTATATAAAAACAATTTTTTCAAAACACTTCTTTTAAAACAGTTAATATATATTTTTTTCGGGAATCAGTTTTTTATATATATTTTGAATGTTTACGACTTTCTTATTATATATTTCGGAAATTATAATTAAACATGTTAAACTATTTTTGGAAGTTTAACACGAGGGGCTATTTCTTTAAAATAATTCGGGAATAATAATATTGATAGATGATAAAATAATAATAATCCTAATAATGTCCAAAAATCTTACTGAGCATGCTTCATTATTAGTCCGAAAATAATTTACAAAAAACCCTACAAACATTAGAAATTCCATGCATATCTAAAGATTTATCATGCATATTAGACATCAAACTAAAATATAAGCGATATTTTTTTGAACAAAATAAAAATTCATGCATATTTTTGGAGGAAATGCTTATAAAAATTTTCAAGCATGTATATAAAACATCAAACTAATTGTATAAACATGCATAAATCCGAAAATATATTGAGCATAGTTTAAATATGGATAAGCATGCATATTATAAGCATGCATATAAATCATCAAACTAAAAAAAAAACTATTTTTAAAAATATACATTTTTTTTTCGGGTATATTAAAATTAAAGTAGCATAGAAAAAAGAGCATGCAATATTCAAGAAACAAACCATTTTAATATCATCATGCATTTTTGGAATTTAAATCAAATATTAAAGAAATACGAATGAAAAGAAAACATAACCTTGCTTCCTTTTGTGTTTCTGATAGACTGCTTTTGGAATTTCCTTGCCCTGGTATTCTAGATCAACAGAAAGTTCGGGTCTATCACACCAAATAGTCATATCTTTCCTAGCTGCAAGACCGTCTTTAGTTTTGCCTTTGAAATCCATCACCGTGTTAAATATATTGTCAAACACGTTCTTCTCAGTGTGCATGACATCTAAATTGTGACGGATGAGAAGGTCTTTCCAATATGGCAACTCCCAGAATATGCTCCTCTTTGTCCACTTATGGATATGACAAAACCCATGTGGTTCCTGGTTTGGCTCTTCCATAGCCGTAGGAAGACGTCGAACCCGGTTATAAATTTCTTCGCCGGTCAATCTCGGGGGTGCGCTCTCTCGTACCGCTCTGCCTCTGATGGAAGACTTCTTGTCCTTTCGATATCGGTGCTTTTCCGGGAGAAACTTGTGGTGACAATCAAAGTAACTTCCTTTTTTACTGTAACTGAGCCAGTTCGCACCTGATTTCTCCATGCATATCGGACATCCCATCATACCGTGTGTGCTCCATCCAGAAAGCATGCCATAGGCAGGGAAGTCGCTAATGGTCCAAATGATGGCAGCTTTCATTATAAACATCTGATCTGATGAAACATCATAAGTTCGTCTCCTCGATAAGGGGTTGAAGATAAACACATTTCAATTAACGATTAAACACATTTCAATTAACGAAGGAGCTGTTTGGGTGACCCCTGCAGAAGTTCTTTTGTAAGTAGTTATGAAGAAACCTTATTTTCAATAATTTTATATAATGTTAAATAATCTAACCAAATCTTATATAAATAAATACTATTAATTTTTTTAAGTGACGATGAAGTGTTCAAAGGCATCAAAAACATAATCGGAGGATACTTTCTTGGCACTTGGGCCACGTACTCGGATGTTGACCCCAAGGTTCGCGAACTATGGTGGAACCTGTTCAAGGTAAAAATAAATGAATGTTCCCTCCCTAATTGTATTGGCCTAATATATACCTAGTGATTAATTAATCCAATTTGTTTTAATAAAGGGTCGCTATCGTTGGACTCACGCAAACGGTGCCGATATTCTTAGAGCCTACAATGCTAGGATTTCGACCTGGCTTCGCGCCACTTTCAAACGTGCCCGAAAAAGTGCGAAAAAGCCTAAATGGGTTTCGGATGAAGTGTGGTCCAACCTTTGTCGCCACTGGTCTTCTGATCCGAAATTCTTGGCCAGAAGTGAATCTGGTAAGAAAAACCGGATGTCCGAGAAGGCCTTGGAGATGCAGTGGCACGGGGGTCGCAAATCTCAGAATGCCCATAAAGAAACTCTTGTAAGTGCTATTCAAAAAACCTTACACCATCACAATCCTTCATTATAAAAAATTTACTTAAATCTTTTTCACACCATTTAGGCTGGTCCTGAGAAGAAGAGGGTTGGTGTTCTCCTGCTCGTCAAGCATTGCTGGACGAAGCACAGCGAGGAATCTGAAGCCGGTCTGCCACCCCCGCCTTGCTGACTTCGAAATATGTAACAACATATTTTGTTATTTAGTAACATTTCAAATCTAAGTATGTAGCATTTAAAAAATATTTTTTGAAAATGCAGACGAAGTACAACGAATCCGTTGACAGGCAACGTGCGGCACGAGGCTTGACCCAGGAGGACGACCTCGATTCCGATGCGGATGATGAGGCGGCCATTGAGGCGGCCGGGGTTTACAAGGTCCGGGTTCCGTGCTTGGGGGCCGAGGGGCAACGGATTTTGTATGATCGAAGCACCGGCGCTTCCTCTTCTCGGTCAAGGCGGGGAGAAGATCCTCGTATTGCTACAATGCAGCGTGAACTGGAGGAGCACGAACGGCGATGGGAGGAGCAGCGGAAAGCAGATGAGGCCACAAAAGCCCGGTTGGAGGAGATGGAACGGTTCATGCGTGCCGGATTCCAGTCTCCGCAACAGCCTTTTCCTCCCCCGTACGTATTCCACCCTGAGCAAACTCCTCAAGTTCCGCACATGGGCGGTATGGGATTTTTCCCCAACTCCGGATACGGTGGCATGCCTATGATCTCCCCGAATTTCGGATCTATGTCCTTTGATTTTGCAAGGTCATCCGGAGGAGGTAGTGGTCCACCGAGCCATGGACCCCGAGGAGGACCCCGAGGAGGAACCCAACCTGACCCCGAAGACCCCCCCGTGAACCCAGATGAGTTTCTTGTTGATGATGATGATGATGAAGAAGTAGAAAATCCTAATTTTTTTCATAATGGAGTCCCACGAAGGGACATGTAATCATCATACATTTATACTTTGTTGTATGTCAAAACATTTAAAAGTTTGTCACAATATTTATTAAGTTTGTTGTATGTCTTTACTCTTTAAAATGTAATTTTAAATTTAAAAAATTAGAATAATATTTTCAATAACTCAATTTTCAAAAAATATTTTTAAATTTAATTTGTAAAAATACGTATAAAAAAGTTATTTTTAAATTTAATTTGTAAAAATACGTATAAAAAAGTAATTTTTAAAAACAACTTTAAAAAAAATGTAAATTTTTTTTTAAAAAAAACAAAAATAGTAGTCACAGCCTTATCCGTGACTACAGTTAATTCGAAATTATGATTTGTTTTTAATTAAAAACATTATTTTTTTTTTAAAAAAAAAGCTTAGTCACGGTCGACAACCGTGACTAATTTCAAAAATTTAGATTACACCCGCGGGCGGTCTTTTGAAAATTTTGAAAATTTGAAACATTAGTCACGGCCCACAGCCGTGACTATTATTTATTTTTTTTAAAAAAAATTATAGTCACGGTCACAAGCCGTGACTAACACGTCGGAGTGGGGTTTCCGGCATGTTAATAGTCACGGTCATGGACCGTGACTAACCCGTGACTAAATTTAGTCACGGTTATGTGGCGGTGACTTCATTTAGTCACGCTCATTAAGTCACGGTCAACGACCGTGACTAACTCATTTAGTTACGGAATTTTTGAACTGGCGTCCGTGACTACCTTCGTGACTACACGCGTGTTTTGAACTCGAGTTGATGCGCCTCCATGGCGCTTTGGGACCCAGGTATGGCGGAGAACTGGCTCAACAAGCCACGTTGCTTCTGGGTTGGCGATTGTGCTCCCAAATTGGATTTCTGTGGAAGGCGGCGGCGGGACGGCCTGGTGTCAAGACGGTAGGGCGGCAGCACGTACAAGTGGGTGTATGGAGGTTGTAGTTAGGATTGTTGAAAACGGGTAAGACGTTAGGGTTTTATAGGTGTAAGCTACACTACAAAAAAACACGCATGTAGTCACGGAGGTAGTCACGGACGCTAGTTCAAAAATTCCGTGACTAAATGAGTTAGTCACGGTCGTTGACCGTGACTAAAACCGTGACTAAATGAAGTCACCGCCACATAACCGTGACTAAATTTAGTCACGGGTTAGTCACGGTCCATGACCGTGACTATTAACATGCCGGAAACCCCACTCCGACGTGTTAGTCACGGCTTGTGACCGTGACTATAATTTTTTTTTAAAAATAAATAATAGTCACGGCTGTGGGCCGTGACTAATGTTTCAAATTTTCAAAATTTTCAAAAGACCGCCCGCGGGTGTAATCTAAATTTTTGAAATTAGTCACGGTTGTCGACCGTGACTAAGCTTTTTTTTTTAAAAAAAATAATGTTTTTAATTAAAAACAAATCATAATTTCGAATTAACTGTAGTCACGGATAAGGCTGTGACTACTATTTTTGTTTTTTTCAAAAAAAAAATTCCATTTTTTTTAAAGTTGTTTTTAAAAATTACTTTTTTATACGTATTTTTACAAATTAAATTTAAAAATTACTTTTTTATACGTATTTTTACAAATTAAATTTAAAAATATTTTTTGAAAATTGAGTTATTGAAAATATTATTCTAATTTTTTAAATTTAAAATTACATTTTAAAGAGTAAAGACATACAACAAACTTAATAAATATTGTGACAAACTTTTAAATGTTTTGACATACAACAAAGTATAAATGTATGATGATTACATGTCCCTTCGTGGGACTCCATTATGAAAAAAATTATGATTTTCTTCTTCTTCATCATCATCATCAACAAGAAACTCATCTGGGTTCACGGGGGGGTCTTCGGGGTCAGGTTGGGTTCCTCCTCGGGGTGCTCCTCGGGGTCCTCCTCGGGGTCCATGGCTCGGTGGACCACTACCTCCTCCGGATGACCTTGCAAAATCAAAGGACATAGATCCGAAATTCGGGGAGATCATAGGCATGCCACCGTATCCGGAGTTGGGGAAAAATCCCATACCGCCCATGTGCGGAACTTGAGGAGTTTGCTCAGGGTGGAATACGTACGGGGGAGGAAAAGGCTGTTGCGGAGGCTGGAATCCGGCACGCATGAACCGTTCCATCTCCTCCAACCGGGCTTTTGTGGCCTCATCTGTTTTCCGCTGCTCCTCCCATCGCCGTTCGTGCTCCTCCAGTTCACGCTGCATTGTAGCAATACGAGGATCTTCTCCCCGCCTTGACCGAGAAGAGGAAGCGCCGGTGCTTCGATCATACAAAATCCGTTGCCCCTCGGCCCCCAAGCACGGAACCCGGACCTTGTAAACCCCGGCTGCCTCAATGGCCGCCTCATCATCCGCATCGGAATCGAGGTCGTCCTCCTGGGTCAAGCCTCGTGCCGCACGTTGCCTGTCAACGGATTCGTTGTACTTCGTCTGCATTTTCAAAAAATATTTTTTAAATGCTACATACTTAGATTTGAAATGTTACTAAATAACAAAATATGTTGTTACATACTTCGAAGTCAGCAAGGCGGGGTGGCAGACCGGCTTTAGATTCCTCGCCGTGCTTCGTCCAGCAATGCTTGACGAGCCGGAGAACACCAACCCTCTTCTTCTCAGGACCAGCCTAAATGGTGTGAAAAAGACTTAAGTAAATTTTTTATAATGAAGGATTGTGATGGTGTAAGGTTTTTTGAATAGCACTTACAAGAGTTTCTTTATGGGCATTCTGAGATTTGCGACCCCCGTGCCACTGCATCTCCAAGGCCTTCTCGGACATCCGGTTTTTCTTACCAGATTCACTTCTGGCCAAGAATTTCGGATCAGAAGACCAGTTGCGACAAAGGTTGGACCACACTTCATCCGAAACCCATTTAGGCTTTTTCGCACTTTTTCGGGCACGTTTGAAAGTGGCGCGAAGCCAGGTCGAAATCCTAGCATTGTAGGCTCTAAGAATATCGGCACCGTTTGCGTGAGTCCAACGATAGCGACCCTTTATTAAAACAAATTGGATTAATTAATCACTAGGTATATATTAGGCCAATACAATTAGGGAGGGAACATTCATTTATTTTTACCTTGAACAGGTTCCACCATAGTTCGCGAACCTTGAGGTCAACATCCGAGTACGTGGCCCAAGTGCCAAGAAAGTGTCCTCCGATTATGTTTTTGATGCCTTTGAACACTTCATCGTCACTTAAAAAAATTAATAGTATTTATTTATATAATATTTGGTTAGATTATTTAACATTATATAAAATTATTGAAAATAAGGTTTCTTCATAACTACTTACAAAAGAACTTCTGCAGGGGTCACCCAAACAGCTCCTTCGTTGTTGCGCTCCGCTTCGGACATGGGCGCATAGTTAGGGCGGGGAGCCGAGGTCGATTGTTCGTTGCTCATCTAAAATATATTAATTTATTTTGTTTTTTGTTAGAACGCTTATAATAGAAGATCAAACTTTTATGTAAGTATTATCAAGAGGTTTTTACAACAATATTACTAAAATAAAACTTATTTACATAAATATGATTATTCATTACTACAACGTAGTGTTGTAGTAACTTAAGTTCAGAACTTGAACATGAATTACTATGATTTCATTACTATTCTAGTAACTAATCATATTTTTGTAAATCATCTTTATTTTGGTCATATTAATGTAATTATTTCTATTATCAATTATCAATGTATATAACATATTAAACTGGGTATAAGTTTAATATCAGGGTCCAATAAATGCTAATAAACAAATACTATAATTATCAAGGAGTTGACACAGTCGACCGAAAAATCAACCGGTTGGAGCTTATCAATGAGTTGACCGAGTCGATTCATTGATAAACTCCATCCTGACGATTCTTCGGGCTACGCCTTGAACCATGGATGGGCTACATCACATGTAGCGACATAATGTCAGTACACGCGCTTGGGAGAGTCCATCGATGACTCAAGCCGTAGCCAGAAGAATCGACAGATTGGAGCTTATCTAAGAATTGACTAGGTCAACTCATTGACAAGCTCCAACTGATCGATTCTTCGATCGACTGGGTCAACTCATTGATAAATTATAGGATGAGTTTATTAGAAATTATTGAACCACTCATATTAAACTTACACACAGTTTATTAAATTTTTATAGGGAAAAATAATAAAAATACCCCAAACTTTGAAGGGATGTGACAAGAGCACCACAAACTTTCATATGTAATTTAAATATCCCAAACTTTATATAAAGTTTGGGGTGTTTAAATTACTTATGCAAGTTTGGGGTGTTTACCTCACACCCTTTCAAAGTTTGGGGTATATTTATTATTTTTCACTATAAAAATTTATACAAGTATTATCAATTGAAAATGTGTATAGCATATTAAACTATCTATTAGTTTAATATGAGGGGTCCATATTTTTTCATAATAAGTTCTTCTATAATTTGGCAATAAATTGCCCTTGGAGGTAAAATGTTAAACTTTTTGCAAAGTTTACATGAGAGGAGATCATTTTTTTATGTTTTAGATATATCAGTTTAAAATAAATTTAAAACAGTTTGTTAAATCAGTTTTTACAAAAAACTATTTTTTACAATAATCTGTTTAATAAAAGAGTTTTTAAAACAGTTGTTATTAAAACAGTTTTTATTAAAACAGTTTTTATAAAAACAGTTTTTATAAAAACACTTTTTATTAAAACAGTTTTTATAAAAACTGTTTTTTACAAAAATCTGTCTAATAAAACAGTTTATATAAAACAGTTTATATATATCAATTTTTATAAAAACAGTTTTTTTAGATAAATTATAAAAACAGTTTATATTAAAACAGTTTGTATAAAAACAGTTTTTATTAAAACAGTTTTTATAAAAACTATTTTTCACAAAAATCTGTTTAATAAAACAGTTTTTAATTAACAGTTTTTATAAAAACAGTTTTTATAAAAACAGTTTTTTTTAGATAAATTATAAAAACAGTTTATATAAAAACAGTTTGTATAAAAACAGTTTTTGGAAAAACAGTTTATCTAAAAACAGTTTATAATATAACAGTTTATAATATAAAAAATAAAAATATATTTTTATGCTTATACTATTATAAAAAATAGTGTTTCATCCAGTTTTTATAAAACAGTTTTTTAGATAAATCATTAAAACAGTTTTTATAAATCATTACAACAGTTTTTCAAACAGTTTACATATATTTTTTTCGGGATTAAATTTAAATGTTTAATATTTTGTTAATGGATATTACGGAAATTATATTTAAACGTGTTAAACTATTTTTGGAAGTTTAACACGAGGGGCTATTTATTTAAACAGTTTTTTTTAAATATTAACCTAAATTAAATATTTTCGGAAATTAAATTTAAAGTAATGCATATGTATAGAGAGGCATGCAAATCAAACACTAAACATATATATTAAACATCATACTAATTGTATAAGCATGCATTAGTTCGAAAATATATTGAGCAAGGTTTAAATAAAAAAAGAATATAATATATATGAACAAGAAAATAAAGACAGTTTATTTAATAAGTTTGTTTACATATTTTCATAAATTACATTCAGAAATTAAATTTTTTAAATTTACCATTTTGAAAAACAGTTTATTAAGTACTTTAATCATGCATATGAACATATATTAAACATAAAATAATCTACATTTGAACATATATTAATCATGCATACGAAACATATAAAACGAAATTATCATGCAAAACTACAAATCATGCATATAATAAATCATACATACAACTTTTGAACATTACAAAATGATATGAAACTAAAAATCATGCATCTTATCATGCATTTGAGTATACAATCATGCATTTTTGGAATTTTAATCAAATATTACAAAATAAGATGAACAGAACACATAACCTTGACTGAGATAAGAAGGGCCGAAGGAAGCAGGCGGACGAAGGCGGCCGGAGGACGACGGCGGACGGCTAGGCGGCGACGGCGGCAGCTAGGCGGCGACGGCGGACGGCTAGGTGGCACTATCGAACTGGAAGAGAGAAGGGAGAGGTAGTTTAGGGTTTGGGAGTTTGGGTGCGTAGGGATGACAAAAACGCTAAGTGTTTGTTTTATATAATTGTTTAGTCACGGTCATAGTCACGGTCAGGACCGTGACTAAACCCTTCGTAATTGACGATGTCAGCGAGGCGGTCAGAGCCGCCTTTAACCGGAATAGTCACGGGCAAAGCCGTGACTGTTTTTAAAATTTGAAAGTAGTCACGGTCATAATCATGGCAATGACCGTGACTATTGTGGTCAGCGCCCCTCTGACCGTTGGCCCTGACTTCGGCATTTACGAAGGGTGTAGTCACGGTCCTGACCGTGACTACAACCGTGACTATTAAATTTATAATTTCATTTTCCTGCGACCCAAGCATTTTATGCTAAAAAATGACTAATAAAGAACCAATGGACTGAGATATGATGCGTACAAGAATGTGTCGTCTGAAACTATGTACACAGCTTATTGAACCGAAAAATGAATAAGGTGTTATTCTGTTCGTCTTTGTGTTAGTTATTACTTATTGTTTATTCTTATTTTATTCAAATCAGATCAGATCAGAAAAATTCAGACATGATTTATTATTATTAATAATAATTATTATTATTATTATTCTTATTATTATTATTATATCGTTATAATAATATTAATTGTGTTTATATTACTATTATAATATTATAAATAATGTTAATATAATTATTAACACTATTATTATTATTATTATTATTATTATTATTATTACTATTGTAATTATATGAATAACTATTAATACCATGGTAATTGTAGTGTGGACTGTGGAGTATTAAATAAACTGCTTTGAATTTATGTGGTATAGAACAGATTAAGGAGTAATTATTTTACAAACAATAATGATGAAAGAAATTATCAAATATGCTTGGAGAAATTATATCACAAAATTGAAATTACAACAGCACAATTACTCGCTGTCAGAATCGTTATTTTCTGCATATATAACGTCTTCTTCTGTATCTGAACCGTCTATCCATTCACCTTCTTCCTGATATTGAACATTTTGTTGTGCTACATACATTTCCTCAATTTCGTGCTCAGATGGAATGGTTAGGTCCGGAAGGTGCATTTCTGGCATGACTTCAACACGTCCGCCATTTGGATCACTTAATTGGACGTTATAGTTGACCGTCTCAACAATAGCGGAGGTTGGAAAAATTGTTGCTGAAAAGCATCTAGATCAACGTCCTTGTGTTGAGTTTGTGATTTAATTTTGTTCGGACGGACAGGACATGCACACACCCAAGGATTCTGGGTTCGCCTTGTTGAAGGATATTCTGCATAATAAATCTGCGCTGCTTGTTGGGCGAGTATGAAAGGCTCATTTTTCGGGTACACACGAGAGTGGTTGACGTCAATCATATTATACTTCGGATTTTTGCGCACGCCACGTGTGGGATCGACCCATGTGCAGCGGAACAGAACGCATGTCATTTTTTGCGCACCAGAAGGCATCTCAAGTTCAAGAATCTCCTGCAGGACACCAAAAAAATTGGTTTCCGAGTTATCATAACCGATGGTCGGGACACATAACCCGTTGTTCGTTGTTGGTCGGCTCTGTCCGTAATCGGCTGTGTGATATGTGTAACCGTTTATCACATATTGCCGCCACACTTTGGCACTGGCACTTGGGCCCCACGCTAATGATACTAACAAAGGGTCGACAATCCCACGACTATTGATCTGTAAATATAAACATAATAATAACATTAGGTAAACATTAGGTAATATATATAATTAATGTGTGTATATATATACCTGATACTTGTACCAATTTACAAAATCAGAGTCCACCAACGCATCAATTTCATTCTCAGGAAAGGCTGATAAAGAAGCTCGGAATTCACTGTGAAGTCAAAAATAAAAAATAAAAAAACTATAAATTAACTACAAATTTAATTTATAAGTATTACAATTATAACTACAAATTTAACTTACTGATAAAACGGTGAGATTTCTGGACAATTCATGAGGATATAAGTATGCGCAATTTGCAATTCCCCACCCAGGATGTATCGTTGTGTTGCAGCACCTTTACCTCTGCCTGGGTAATTGAAGATGGAAACTACATTTTCATATAAATCCTCGCCAATGTCATCGTTCCGGGCAGGTCTCTTCCTTCTGGTGATGACGTCACGCTCGAAGTAAAAAGACGAGAACGTTGAGATTTCTTGTTGAAGATACGCTTGACAAATTGAAGCCTCAACGTGTGCCTTGTTGGTCACTTTCTTTTTCAGCTCTCCTAGAAATCTGCAATAATGCAATAATACACATGTTAACAGTTATTGTGAAATAAATATTCTTTTTTTAAATGAAATTGTGACTAACCTTTCAAATCTGTACATCCACCGATAGAAGACGGGCCCAGCAGTCAAAGCCTCATACGGAAGATGTATTATGAGATGTTCCATTGTATCGAAAAACGATGGTGGCATTATTTTTTCCAGATTACACATCAGAATGGGAACAGACTCTTGTAGTCTCCGGAGGGATGCCGCATCCAAAACGCTGGAACATATCGATTGAAACAACAAACTGATTTCAGTAATGCAGGACCATACGTGTTCAGGGAGCATCTCTTTTAGTGCAATTGGTAGAAGTCTTTGCATTATTACATGAGCATCGTGAGTTTTCATGCTCGCCGTCGTGGTAAGTTTGTTCATGTCTACGCATCTAGACAAGTTGGAGCAGTAGCCATCTGGAAACTTCTGAGACGCAAGCCATTGTAATATTGCTGCCTTTTGTGGTTCTGTGACCTGGTAGACTGCTTTTGGAACTTCCTTGCCCTGATATTCTAGATCAACAGAAAGTTCGGGTCTATCACACCAAATAGTCATATCTTTCCTAGCTGCAAGACCGTCTTTAGTTTTGCCTTTCAAATCCATCACCGTGGTAAATATATTGTCAAAGACGTTCTTCTCAGTGTGCATGACATCTAAATTGTGACGGATGAGAAGGTCTTTCCAATAAGGCAACTCCCAGAATATGCTCCTCTTTGTCCACTTATGGGTATCACAATACCCATATGGCTCTTGGTTTGGCTCTTCCATAGCCGTAGGAAAACGTTGAACCCGGTTATAAATTTCTTCACCGGTCAATCTCGGGGGTGGGCTCTCTCGTACCGCTCTGCCTCTAATGAAAGACTTCTTGTCCTTTCGATATCGGTGCCTTTCCGGGAGAAACTTACGGTGACAATCAAAGTAACTTCCTTTTTTGCTGTAACTGAGCCAGTTGGCACCTGATTTCTCCATGCATATCGGACATCCTATCAGACCGTGTGTGCTCCATCCCGAAAGCATGCCATAGGCAGGGAAGTCGCTAATGGTCCAAATGATGGCAGCTTTCATGATAAACATTTTATCTGATGAAACATCATAAGTTGGTGTCCCAACGGCCCACAGTTCTTTCATCTCCTCAATAAGGGGTTGAAGATAAATGTCTATCTTTCGCCCAGGATCCTTGGAACCCGGACAAATTAAAGACAAAAAGATGAAATGACTTTTCATGCACATGTCGGGAGGGAGATTGTAAGGAGTTAACATGACCGGCCAACATGAATAGTTCTTGCCAAACCTGCCAAAAGGAGCAAATCCATCTGAGCACAATCCCAGCCGCACATTTCGTGGCTCCATAGCAAACTCAGGATGACAGCGGTCAAAGTGTCTCCAGGCTTCACAGTCCGAAGGGTGAGCCATCATACCCTCGTTGGTTTCGTGCTCAACATGCCATGTCATGTGTTTCGCAGTAGCAGTCGAAGCGTACATCCTTTGCAGTCGAGGAGCTATTGGGAGGTAATACAGTTTAGACAGTGCAGACCTATGTCGTGGTTTCTTTTTACCTTGACGAACAGGTTTGTATCTGTCTCCACCACAGAACTTGCAGAACTCAAGTGCCTCATCCTCCTTCCAGAACAACATACATCCTTCCGGGCACGCATCAATTTCAAAACAAGGTAGCCCCAACTTAGACATTAACTGCTTCATGTGGTAATATGAATCAGGAAGGGTATGATCTCGCGGTAGCATCCCTCCTACTGACTGCAAGACTCTATTCATGCAAGTTTCAGGGAGACTGTATTCGCTTTTATGTTCATGAACTCAGTAACAGCGGATAGCTGAGAGTATCCCTCACAATCAGCATACAGAGGTTGGTCGGCAGCTTTTAGAACATCCTGAAATCTCTCAGCCAAACCTTCATCCACATAAGGTTGATAAAATGTCGGATTTTCATCCGCATCTGAGGCTTCAGGGGGGTCGTTAGGTGGTTGTGGGGGGTTGAACTGAGACGGTACACCGTATGCGTCATATACCATTTGTTGGTCCCACCTCATTTCAGCACGGTCTCCCCACGCACTCATCTCTGGAGGGACGTAACGAGACGAACCTACCGTTTGTGGTATAACAGATGGATCCAAAGGTTCGCCGTGAGAAGTCCAATTATAATAATTGGGAACAAAACCGACCGCGTACAAATCATACCCAACTTCGTGTGGGTCTTTAAATTTGAGATTTTTACACTTTGAACATGGACATCTTATTTTATCACCACTCATATAAGCCAGATGTTCAAGTGCAAATTCAATAAATTCCCCGACTCCCTCGAGAAAATTTGATTGCATTCCGTACAATACCGCATCTTTATCATACATCCAACTTCTATTTTGTTTATACATTATGCCTGAATATTATAATAAAAAATTATATGAAATGCAATGCACACAATTTTAAGTAATTTATTTCACTAAATATAATCAACTAATTTTCACTAAATTAAATGAAATGCACAGAATTCACAACAATAATGCACAAAATATACGTCCTCTAATGCACAATAATGCACATAATTTCACTAAATTAAACATACGTTTAATTAAATTTAACTAATTCATTTAGTTAAATTTAACTAAATTTAACTAGTTCATTCCGTCCCCTTTTAATGCATCACTACGTATAAACCTACGTTTAGCTAACTAATTTAACTTAATTAACACATCAATAGCTACGTTCAAACCTACGTTTAGCAAACGAATTTGAATTAAATTATTTTTGTAAACCTACGTTTAAACCTACACTAAATTATTACGTTAATGACATTTAATCTTATTAGTAATACACAATTAACAATTCACTAAATTAAATAATATGACCAAATTCAACCCAATAATTTGAACATGTATATAAAGTCATTTGAATTAATAAGCAATACACAATTCACAATAACAATTCACAATTCACTTAATTAACACATTACTAACGTACGTTATTTGAACTAATTTCACTTAACATAAACATCATTACGTTTTAAACTACATTTAGCTAACTAATTTTAATTAAATTATTTTATAAACCTAAAAGTTTAACTAATTCTAATTTATGACATTACTACGCTTATAGTTAAAACATGTTGTTAATTAATTAACAACCTCACTAATTTAATAGTTTTAATAATTTAAATTGAACCAACTAATTCTAAATAAAAATTATAATTCAAATAACATACCTTATCTGCATAAACAGGGAAAATGATAGAAGATAGACTACATCCTTCGATCTTTCAAACGGATACTGTATATACTGGGAATGAATTGGTGTGGTTCTGTTCAATGAGCTGCTCCTGCATATATAAAAAATTTAGTCACGGACTTAGTCACGGATTTGTCCGTCACTAAGCAAAACCGTGTCCAATACACGTCCAACACGTGTTAATGACGTGTAAATGACGTGTTAATCAAAGTAGTCACGGACATAGTCACGGCCATGTCCGTGACTAAAAGTTATCCGTATATAACACCGTTGCGAATTAATTTATGGAAGATGAAAAATTAAATTTTAATCATAGTCACGGGTATAGTCACGGATGTGGCCGTGACTAAGTCGTCGGAATCAAATAAACTTCGCCGGAAACGGAAACGGGCCTATCGGAGGACTTAAGTCACGGGCCACGACCGTGACTAATTGTAGTCACGGCCATAGTCACGGTCCAGACCGTGACTATTTTTTTTTTTTAAATTTCCGTGACTAGTCCGTGACTAAACTAGTCACGGACCAAATCCGTGACTACGGTCCGTGACTACACGCGTGTTTTTTTGTAGTGCTAAAGGGTACATTTGTCCACCTAAATTATTATGGGAATGATAATTTTATTTTGGGATTAGGTTTTGTCCACCAATGTAGTCACGGATCATGGACCATTTAATGTCCACCAAAATAAAAATTATTATATATGTAGTCACAAATAAAATTTGTCCACCTAAATTTTATGACGAATAATGGGTATATTTTATTGGGGGACGAATATTTGTGACTACATTTTATTGGCGGACGAATATTTGTGACTTGCAAAATCCGTGACTACACCTAATATGTCCACCAAAATAAAAATTATCCGTGACTACATTTTTTTATTAGTCATGGACCACTTCCGTGACTAATATTTGTTTATTTTTTAAAATTCGGACATATTAGTCACGGATTGTCCGTGACTAAGTTTTCAATTTTGAATAAACCGCCAAATTTTTAGGGTTCAAATTTTGAAATTTTTGTTTTGAATTTTCAAAATTTTCCAAATAAACTGTTTTCCAAATAAAAACTTTATATTTAAATATAAACAGTTTAAAAATTTATTTTCCGAAATTAATGCTTTTTAATAGACAGTTTTCCGAAATTAATTTAAAATAAAATGAAAAACTGCTTACTGAAATTTATACTTTTTAATAAACAGTTTTCTGAAATTAATTTAAAATAAAATGTGAAAACTGCTAGCCCGAAATTTATTTAAACTGTTTAATAAAAACAGTTTAATAAAACTGTTTTTGAAATAATAATCTGTTTTTTAAAAGCTGTTTAATAAACTGTTTTTCAAACTGTTTTTTTTCAAATAAAAACTGTGTTTCAAAATAATTATCAGTTTTTTTTTCAAAATAATAACTCTAGTAATCAACTCTGGTTTAATGAACTTGCAAAAATAAACTGTTTAATAAACTGTTTAAACAGTTTAATAAACAATTAATAAACTATTTAATTGAAAAAATAAAGTTTAATAACTGTTTTTCAAACAAATAGACTATTTAACTGTTTTTAAAATTCATTAAAAATAAAAATATAACTGTTGTAAACAATATATTAAAAATTACGTAAACTATATACTACCTCCATCGCCCAAAGTTTCAGACAAGAGAAGGTGACACGGTTATTAATAAAAGTGGGTTTATTATTAGTAAACATCACATCCTACAGTATTTAATCTCCGATAGTTTACACTATTTTTATCACTAAAAGGGAATATGCTTTTTTATTCTTATTACTAATTTTTACAAATATTATATTTAATTCTCTCATCATCATCATCATTACCCCCAGTGCCGCAAAGGTTCCCATCTACGGTGGGGTAAGGGGGTCGGATGTATTGCTGGACTCGGGCCGGGCGGACCGAACCGGGCCCGACCCGGCCCGCTCACTGTTCTAACCGGCCCGACCCGGTCAACCGGGCCCTAGGCGGTTCGGGCCTACCCGGCCCGGGTGCAGGGCGGTCCGGGCTCGGGCCTCTAATTTGTTGAACCGGCCCGGCCGGGCCGGGCCCGGTCCGGGCCTAACGGCTAAATTTTTTAAAAAAAAAAAAAATTCTTTTTCAATTTTTTTTGGCCTTTGTAGCCGTTGGGGAGGCTCCAAACGGCTCTATAGCCGTTGTAGAGGGGTGGGGGTGGGGGGTGGGGGGGGTGGGGGGTTGGGGGTGGGGGGAGAAAAAAAAACCTATTTATACTCCTATTTTCTATACATTTTTTACACCTTCTCTACTCTCTAATTCTCTATTCTCTCAATCTCTAAAATCTTCATTCATCTCCATCTTCATCTTCTATTCTTCTCCAATTTATCTCTACATATATATTATTTATATAAATATTATTATATCTACTTATATATTTATTATCTACTTATATATACATATATTACATTACTAATATTTATTATCTACTTAATTTATATTTATTATCTTATAATTAGCTACTTTACGTATATATATATATATATATATATATATATATATATATATATATATTATATAACTTATATTCCTTATCTACTTAATCTCTTCTTATTATTAATTTATTATATCTACTTATACATTTATTATCTACTTAATAGTTAATATATATTTATTGTCTACTTAGTTAATATTTATTCATCATCAACCAATCGGCCAATCCACCAAGGTACTCTTCTCTTCTTTTATCCATTAATGGCGTTATATTCAAGTAGTTAATTTGTTGCATTATTCATTAAAGTGTACAAGTGGTAAATTTAGACATTGTAATTAAAGTATAAAACTAGTTAGTTTGTTGCATTATTCATTAAAGTGTACAAGTGGTAAATTTAGACATTTTAATTAAAGTATAAAACTAGTTAATTTATTGCATTATTCATTAAAGTGTACACCTAGTAAATTTAGACATTTTAATTAAAGTATAAAACTAGTTAATTTATTGCATTATTCATTAAAGTGTACAAGTGGTAAATTTAGACATTTTAATTAAAGTATAAAACTAGTTAATTTGTTGCATTATTCATTAAAGTGTACAAGTGGTAAATTTAGACATTTTAATTAAAGTATAAAACTAGTTAATTTGTTGCATTATTCATTAAAGTGTACACCTAGTAAATTTAGACATTTTAATTAAAGTATAAAACTAGTTAATTTGTTGCATTATTCATTAAAGTGTACAAGTGGTAAATTTAGACATTTTAATTAAAGTATAAAACTAGTTAATTTATTGCATTATTCATTAAAGTGTACACCTAGTAAATTTAGACATTTTAATTAAAGTATAAAACTAGTTAATTTATTGCATTATTCATTAAAGTGTACAAGTGGTAAATTTAGACATTTTAATTAAAGTATAAAACTAGTTAATTTGTTGCATTATTCATTAAAGTGTACAAGTGGTAAATTTAGACATTTTAATTAAAGTATAAAACTAGTTAATTTGTTGCATTATTCATTAAAGTGTACACCTAGTAAATTTAGACATTTTAATTAAAGTATAAAACTAGTTGATTTGTTGCATTATTCATTAAAGTGTACAAGTGGTAAATTTAGACATTTTAATTAAAGTATAAAACTAGTTAATTTGTTGCATTATTCATTAAAGTGTACACCTAGTAAATTTAGACATTTTAATTAAAGTATAAAACTAGTTAATTTGTTGCATTATTCATTAAAGTGTACAAGTGGTAAATTTAGACATTTTAATTAAAGTATAAAACTAGTTAATTTATTGCATTATTCATTAAAGTGTACACCTAGTAAATTTAGACATTTTAATTAAAGTATAAAACTAGTTAATTTATTGCATTATTCATTAAAGTGTACAAGTGGTAAATTTAGACATTTTAATTAAAGTATAAAACTAGTTAATTTGTTGCATTATTCATTAAAGTGTACACCTAGTAAATTTAGACATTTTAATTAAAGTATAAAAGTAATAAGACTAGTTAAATTGTTGCATTTGTCATTTAAGTGTACACCTAGTAAATTTATACATATTAAAATATTTGATATACTTTTATATTTGTTAAGATGGAGCGCGGTAGACATTCTTTGGATATCGGAAATCTCCAACGCAACCGAAAGAAGGAGATTGCGAGAACTCATCCTAGTTTGCGCAAAAAAAGCGGGCAGTCCGGATCTTCTTCTCAAAGTGGATGGGAGGACGAACCGGAATACCAACGGCGAGATGGCGAAAGAATGTCCGACGAGCAACTACAACAACTATTGGCTCAAAATCCTCAATTTTTCCATCAACGAGACATCCCGGTCCTCCCGGACGATATTCACACCATTGACGAAGAAGAGCTCGAGGATGACGATCCGGAGGAGGACGCGGGGGGCGCCGGGAGTCACGGCACCCCGGATGAGGAGCAAGCGGCGGACCACGAGGGTGACGAGGGTGGTTCATCCCAAATAGGTACGAAATCTAAATCTCCTATTATAGAAAATAATTTTAAAAAGTATAAAGACCCAAGCACCGAGAAATGGTACGCAAGTTGCAACCATTGCGATAAGGTGTACAGTTTGGGAACTTCGGGCGGATACGGGAGCCTCAAAAGGCATCTTATGGGCAAGCACAAGGTGGAGTACGCAAAAATTGAGAAAGGCAAGGGGAAGCAAACACAAATATCGAGGTTTGCAAACAATCAACCTTATGGTAATTTCTCATACAATGATCAACAAAATTTGACTGGTATGGCTAACTTTATAGTTGAAGAAAATTTACCTTATTTGTTTTCTGAAAGTGTTTCTTTTAAAGAGTATGCACAAACTTGTTTAAATCCTCAATTTCGAAGTTTTAGTCGAAAAAACGGTTAAAAAAGAAATTATAAGGCTTTATAAGGCGGAAAAGTTGAACTTACAAAATTTTTTTGCAAACTATGATGGACGTGTTACTGTTTGTTCTGACATATGGGAGGACACCTATCATAATTTACATTATTTGGGTTTGACTGCACATTATGTTGATGATGATTGGAATATGCATAAACGTGTTCTTGCTTTTCGTGAATTTAATGATCGTCACACCGCTGAACATATTTATATTTTGATTGAGCGCATTTTAATTGAGTATAATTTGGTTAATAAGGTGTTTGCTATAGGTTTTGATAATGCTACTAATAATACTGCTGCTATACCTAGATTGCGTGAATTGTGTGGTCCTACTACTTTGATGGGTAGATTTTTTCATCAACGATGTGCATGCCATATAATAAATTTATGTGTGCAGGATGGTCTAAAAGCGTTGGGAGATGCTATGGAGGTAGCGAAGGGGGGGATTAGACGTATTTGGGCTAATGGTCAACTTAAATTAAAATGGAAAAATTATTTGAATGAAAGAAATGTGAAATATGTTGCTTTTCCTAAAGATTTGTCTATTCGGTGGAATAGTTCTTATAAATTAATTAGAGTTCTTATTAGATATAAAGAACATTTTCCTGCTTTTTTAAAAGAATATGATAACTACATTTTAAACTCTGCTCACATCGACACTTGCGAAAAAATTTGTAATGTTTTGATATTTTTTAATAATGCAACTGAAAGTTTTAGTCATGTTTATAAACCTACTTCAAACGAATTTATGCGTGAACTTGTTAATCTCGCCGGTGCTTTTAATGAATTTCAAAATGCCGATTATGTGAGCTATTTTTGTACTTTTATGAAGGAAAAGTTTTTAAAATATTATTCACATATTCCACATATTTATGGTATTGCTTTTATTCTCGATCCTCGTTATCGACTTAGTAATTTGGAACAATGTTACAAGTTCTATTATCAATCTTTTTATGGTGATTTTCCAATGTATGAAGATAACCCTATAGATCCGCAATCTGAATACAACGAGGTTAGTAGTTTATTTTATTCTTTATTTAATGAGTTTCGTGCACAATATGGCAACATGCCCCCTCCCCCAACCCAAACATCTTCATCTAAAGGAAAAGGTCTTTTTAAATCTGCATTTGGCAATCTTATGAAAAAAGCTAAAACAACGCACACTACTGAACAAAGCACAATTAATGAGATTGCTTTGTATATTAACTATGAGGTTGAGTTTGTAGAAAATGAAGATTTTGACGTCCTAAAGTGGTGGAAGTCAAAAGAAAGAACGTTCCCGATTTTGGCATGGATGGCTAAGCAAGTACTATCAATGCCGGTTTCAACAGTTGCCGTGGAACAAGAATTTAGTTCGGCCGGCAACGTCCTAACTAAATCGAGAACGTGTTTGAGTGCCGAATCTCTTGAGACACTTATATGCTACCACGATTGGTTGAAGGCAAGACGTAGAACTCAAGAACTTAGTCTCATCCCCTCCCAAGACTTTATGGATGAATCAACCGATGGTGGTTCTACCTATGCCGGGGATTCCGATTGATTAGTATTTTACAATTTCTTATTTTATCCTCAATTCTCTATTGTAATTTGTGAACTTGTAGATTTGTAGTTCATATTTCAAATCAATAAAAGTTAAATTTTTTTATATGTCGCATTTTTTAATTATATTATATTATTATTACTTAATAGAAAATGTATTAGAATTAATTGTTCTCAATTCTCAAAATGTACTTATTACTTATTTCACATAAATGTACTTCAAGATTGTTTTTAAATAATTTTAATATTCAAGATTCCAAGTAGATGTATAAGAATATAAGTTAAAAAAAAAAAAAAAAAAAAAATTTCTAGGCCCGACCCGACCCGCCGGTTCACCCGACCCGGGGCCCGGCCGGGTCACCCGGCCCGAACCGGCACCCGCTCACAGGCGGGCCGGGCCCGGGCCTTACATTTCCGAACCGAGGCCCGGCCGGGCCCAGGCCCGAACCGAGCCCGAACCGGCCCGAGGGCAGGCCTAGTCGGATGTACGCAGTCTTACCCCTGTAATAAAGCACAAAGAGACTGTTTCTGAATGACCCATAGTGAAAATCGCGTCGAAAATTGCATAGACTGATTGCTACTTCATAACAAAGAAGTGCAGGCAGTTTAGTGAGCCATTTTGCTTTATTCCATCATATTCCCAAGCCAAAAAATAGTGAGCCTTTCGCTCCATTGAAAAATGATGGAAATCATTTAATTCTCTAATTATCATATATTTATACATTAGACCAATCACCGGTAAATATCAATCTGTAATTGATTTTTGGTCATGAGTTGAGGCTAAATACAATGAATACCGTCAACAAAATTCAAGAATGGATATAATAACTACTCAGACACTAAGGCTGAATGGGTGTGTCAAGCAAGTTGAGAATTTGAATCCAAGTGGTGCTTCTGAAAAAGATATTGTAAGTATAATATAATTTTAATTTTCAATTATTTATTGGAATATTTGGATAAATATACAACTTTAAATTGGTATAGTTAATTTAATGTCACATATTTGTGTAAATAAAATGTATAGCCTTTTTGGTTACATGAAGGAGAAAAAAACTCCTAAAACTAAGGATTGTATTTGGTGTCTTTAAAGAATATACACGTAGTGACGTACATAACTGTTTCTCAAGTGAGTGAATATGCTATTTATTTGAAATGTCAAAATAGATGCTACTAATTTGACTTCTATGTAATACAAATATTATTTTAATAATTTGCGGCTAGATCGTGCTAAATTTTATTTATGAAAGAACCAAAATATTCTAAAGGTTCTAAGTTTGACCATGTCTGGGATTGGGAAGACACTTAAATAAATTCTGGAAACATACTGGGCATTTTGCACATATATAAAGCACAATATGTTTCAAGAATTTGTTTAACTGCCTTTTCGATAGAATTTGAGCTGAAATTTGATATGGATAAACTAGACTTGATAAGGAACATATTAAAAAAAATCAACATAAAATTCCATCGGAAAGGCCCTCTGATAGCCTTGTCCGCATGGGGTTCCTGTTAGGACGTCCATTCTATTTTATAACATCAAAAAATCATTCTATTTCTTTCCTTCATGCTTTGTTATGTTTTTGTATCTTTTCTTTCATAGGTCCCATCCCCCCCAAACAATGATCTATTCCTGCCAGAATATGAGAAGTATATGGTGAGTATAATTTATTGAGAAAACATTACACTTTTAAGTATTACTAAGTACATTGTATTTATAAGTGCATTATACTTTTAATTCCTTATTGGTATTATATTTTTTGTAATTTTTGTTAGCTTGATGAAGATTCAAAGTTTGCACTAGCACATTTAAAGATGAAAGGAATCCTCGGGTTTGCTTTAAACAAATGTATGGAATTTCCTTATTGCGAATCAATGGATTGGACGATAATATCTGATGAAACACGGAAGTTCCTAAAAGGGCATGTCAAGCTCAGTGATACTACTTATGATATGAATGAGGTTAAAAAATATAGTTATGGTTTTTCTCTTTTCATGTTCCTCTTTAGTGCAATACTACATGTCTAAATTTGTAAATCAATACTTCTCAGCTATGCCACATGCTTGCTTGTGCACACTGGTGTTTCAAGAGATACTTAAAGTTGATTTCTATGATCTTGAGCAACGGGTCAAGAAATTTAGAATTTGATGAATATAGGGGTGGGACTTCTACGCCTGAGAGTACCCCAAGCGCTGAAGTTGTAATATCTCGAGCCTAAATCTTCATCCTGCAAAGTTTCTATTCTATGTGACATGTGTGTGCATGTTTTGTGTTCTTATTCATATATTTGTGAAATTTATAGGATCAATTGTGCGAGATCATCAACTCTAGATTTAAAGAAGTGATTGACATATTTTAGTCTTTACAGACATTGTTCGCACCCTCTTGGGAATCATATCAAGAAACAAAGGTAATTTTTATTTATAATAGCAAATAGTAAAAGGTACAAATTAACCATAAATTTACAAATAAAGCGCTGAAGTTGTAATATCTCGAGCCTAAATCTTCATCTTGCAAAGTTCCTATTCTATGTGACATGTGTGTGCATGTTTTGTGTTCTTATTCATATATTTGTGAAATTTATAGGATCAATTGTGCGAGACCATCAACTCTAGATTTAAAGAAGTCATTAACATATTTCAGACTTTACAGACATTGTTCGCACCCTCTTGGAAATCATATCAAGAAACAAAGGTAATTTTTATTTATAATAGCAAATAGTAAAAGGTACAAATTAACCATAAATTTACAAATATTTCAGATTTCACCATGAACTCGTGTAGAATTTGATCTGATCAATTCTTGCTCTATTTTGTTATGTTGAAGGCATTTTCTATGTCATTGGAAAAGATCTTATCGAGCTCTAAAACTCGTCTTCAGGCATCGGTTTCGAAATATCAATGGATGATTGCTAGAGCTGTCAAAACGGGGGTGTTTTACCAAAATACGGGAATTGTCCGCATATGTTGTCAAAATACGGGGAAAAGTTAGGGTTTTCTTTAAAAGCGGGAGTCGGAATTGGGTCTTCCGACTAGAGGTAGGAGTTTTAAAAAAATTGTTCCTTCTCCAGTCGGATATACCACTTCCGACAAGGGGTTTCTTTAATTTTTTAGGTGCAATTATTACTTCTCAATAAAGTTTTTTTAAAATAAAGTTTTTTCAAATAAGGTTTTAAATTCCTATCGGAATTGTTAATTACGAATGTAAAAGTTTTTTTTAAAAAAAATTCGTGTCATTTTTTTTAAAATGAAAATTATGCATTTTGATTTTTTTAGTTAAAAAACATTGATTCATTTATTTTATTTTTTAACCCATGCATATTGTGATTTAAATTAATAAAATAAAATACAAATTTGATTTTGTTTTCAATGCAATTTTTGTAATTTCAATGGAAGTGAACAAAACAAATGTAGTTTTCAATGTAATTTATTAATAAATAGATAGTACGTACATACAATAATAAATTGAATACTACATCTAACGTTGCGCGCTCGACCGTTTGACGACAATCGATCATATATGAAGTTGATTCTACGTGACCGTTTAATTTTTGCAAAATGGAAGAGAAAGAATTACATCAGTATCGTACTCAAATTCTTAAGAATTACTATCAGGATATACAAATCATTGAATCTTATAAAATCGTTATAATTCATCTTAAATAAGCATCATATGTGTACTTATTGTCAATTTAACTTAACATACATTTTATATTTTGTTATAATTTGTATATTTTAGAGTAATAATTTAATTTTTATGTAAGTTCGAGGGCCTATTTGACATTTTTCCATTTTTTTTGAAAACCACTTACTCCCTCAGGCATCAGTCCCGCAAAATAGTTCTCACTTTTCTTTGAAAAATTGTTCTCATTTCTTTTTTTGAAAAGTTTTGTGTGGCTAACATTCATTTCATTACAAAAAAACATGGAATTGAAAGATACTTTTGGAAGGAATTCCCCAAAATTGACAGGGATATGCCAAATTCATGCTTAATTCGTGCCAATCTCATAACTTTTTTATAGTGTAATTTACTGTTTTCTTACTCAACCACAACCATATTCTAATCCAAAACAAACTGTGAACTATTTTGTGTGATGGAGTGAGTATATCATAAGACGTTTTGAATAAGATTAAATATAATTTGAAATTTTATAATTGAAGTACTCCGTATTATATTCCCTCTTCGAAAGGTGAGAAATTATGGTTATGTTCGAGATTATTTTCATAGTATTTTGCAGTGATGCCAAAATATGATAATTTCAAGATGGGAACACAGCTTATATTTTTAAATTTTTCGTTGATTATTTACTTTTATTTCCAGAAGTTCTCCATGATGTGTTCATATAATAAAAAGTCTTTTAATGAATTTGGGATAAGTCAGTTTTGTGGGTGTTTTACCGGGTGATTTACCAAAATACGGAAATCCTCAACATCCCTTGCCCATTTACGGGAAAAAATTAGGGTTTCCAAAAAAGCGGGAGTCGGAATTGGCTCTTCCGACTAGAGTTAGGGATGTAAAAAGAAAAGGTTGGGCTTCAGCCGACCAAAGCACCATGTCATCGAGGCATTCAGTCTGGGTCGTCTGACTCTTCACCCGAGTTTATGACTATACAAAATAGATACATTCATAAATTTCAATAATATTATATACTACAAACAATAAATATATAAAATGTGAGCTTATGTAATTGAATGAGTTAAAAATTACTTAAACGCGTCATATTATAAAATGTGAACTTATCTAATTGAATGAGTTAAAAATTAGTAAAATAAATACTTCTAAATAACAATTTAATTTATAAAATTTAATTTATAAAATTTCTTAAAATAAAACAAAATATAGCGTAATTTATAAACTTTCTTAAAATTTCATAAAATTTCCTAAAATAAAACAAAATAAAATTTCTAAAACATATCCCCTGGTCGGATTTAGCATTTCCGACAGGGATAAATTTGTTTTTTTTTTAGTTTTATTTCAACCAAAATATATTACATGAATGAACACAAATCAAAGCAAACAATAAAAAAATTTTGAACACCCCCTAGTCGGATTACACAATTCCGACTAGGTTTTTTTTATTTTTTATTTTTTTATTTTTTTTTAATTCCTTCGGATTACACAAATAAAATAATGGAAACGTTGAAAAATTTCGAACACCCCCCTAGTCGGATTACACAATTCCGACTAGGTTTTTTTATTTTGTTTTTGCTTTATTTCCTCCTGTCGGAATTGGAGAATCCGACTCCCGTAAATTGGTAACCTAAACTGAAGTCCCGTATTTTGGCTTGTCAGTCCCAAAACTCCCGTAAATTGGTAATTTCCTCTCAAAACGGGCCCAAACCCGCGGGTCAACCCGTTTAAACCCATTTACAAACGGGTTAGGGTTATAATATTTGGACCCATTTATGTCACGGGTTTAGCGGGCTAACCCTAACGGGTTACGGGTTTTGGCGGGCCAGCCCGTGCAGGTTACGGGTCAACCCGCGGGCTGGATAAAATATGATAAATTTTTATTATTATATTTTAATATTAATACTTAATACGGAGCACATGTTTGGCGGTTTAGGTCCCGTAGAAGAGGAAGAGTCTGTCATTCATGTATCGAAGAGATGAAGAGGCACTATGCAAGAGCTTTAGTCTCTGTTTTCGAATCGTTTGTCTGGAAGATGGATAGACCAACAGCCAAGAAGCACAAAGTAATTCTTTATATTAGTTGTCTTCTACACTTCCATGGTTCCAGTTCCATTTTTACTTTCTCTACTTTTCTCTGGTTCGTTCAAAATCTTCTCAATATCTCCATATATTTTTGAGTAATCTGTTTTGATCTGCTCTTTGATTATTCTCTTTTATATGGATTTGTTTTAGGGGAATATTGAGCACCACTCATTTCTTCCCATCACAGGTATGTATTGTTAATTTTGGTACTTAAACTTTATCAGAATTTCTTCTTCAATGCGATTCAATCGTTAACAAGATATTAAGATGACATATAGATTACTCCTTAATAAGGATTACAATTGTGTTTGTAGTCTGTAGACTTCTTTATTTTATAGCCACAATTAGTCAATTATAGGATTTTTGACAGAACATATATTTGCTAGCGGTTGATTTATAATTGTATTGTTCTTTATCTTCTTTTCTATCCAGTATTTTCCATTGAAGTAAACCAACTATAGCAAATTAGCAATCATACTTTCAGAGAATTAAACAAATTATTGTATTTTTAGCTATATTATTCAAATTTTCTTTTTACAATAACTGAGATATTCAGAGATAGAATGAGGTACAAACTTTTAATAGGATGTTTTTTTAAAATCTCGATTGACAAATAGTGCAGGCCAGGTAGTCTTTTATGTGTTCTTTAGTTTTCAGCAACTTTATTTAGTTTTTATTTGTAATATTTTTTTGTTTAACTTTTTTTTTTTGAAAATATCATCTTTAATAATTAAATGATCTTTTATTTGTGTTGCAGCTCTATGGATTCAATGGAGTATCAATCACAAGGTGTGAATGAATGTGATGCTGATCAACAATGAATGTTTAATAACAATGTACAATTTCTTATGCACATGATGTATTTGACACAAATCAAGGGTATCAACACTTATTCACAATTCTAATTGTAGTTAATAATTTTGATTTCATTAATTTCCATTGGGTTAGTCTCCCTCTTTATGGGGAAATAGATTTTTATGAAAAATATAAAAACGTATGCATACTAGTGAAACACAGAAGGATGTCTAATGTAATTTTTTTGTTTTTGGAGAATTCCCAGACTAAATGAAAATTTTATTGTCAAAATAGGAGCATAACTTAAAAATTTCTTAAATAGAACTAGCTTTCCCATTCTACACTTACTTTGTTTTAAAACAATTCATATTTTTTTAAAAAGAACAATTTTTATTAAAGAAATGGAAAGTAAAGTACAGTTAGAAAATAAAAGAAAAATAAAAGAGAACAAAATAAAACCAACCAACCTGAATTACAACAAAGAACCCTCCCCATACATCCTTAATGCTTAATCAAGAATCTCCATACGTGATTGGGATCTGGTCTTCATAAGATGCGACCTCTTATGCTTTTTCCTGTATATTTTCATTTGGGTATTTAAGTTCATTGTAGGCAAGCAGTTGTCCCTCGTGACCAGTTTTGCTTTGTTACAAATATCCTGATTGGTGTCGGAGTCCCATAGATCCTCCATCGAAGAAATAGGAGTCCTCTTTTCACTCTCTGAAGCATGACCAAGGAAATCATCTCCCGAGTTATAGGCTAGCTTTTCAGAAAATACACCCTCACTATCATCTCCCAAGTATTGAGTTTCACTCGGGAATTTGACATTAGGACCGTGATTAGCATTCACTGTTTTACCCATTTTCTCATCTAAAGAGTCTCTATTACCAATAGCAGATGAAAGAATTCTTTCAAATTCTTTGATTGAGCTTTAGAAGAAATCCTTAATGATTGGTAAAGAAGAGTCAAGAGTTCCCGAGTGCTCAATGATACAATTATCCCCAACCGGAAGCAAGACAAGAGATTTCTCAAAAGAATTAGACATGTCAATATCAATCTGAAGCAATGCCCCCGAAATAGAAAATTCGTTCTGGTGGGAGGGGTTCCTGTCCAACCAAGGAATGAAAATATCTCTCTCAAAATTAGATTGGACGTTACCTAGATTCTCACCTGAACATTCCTTCATTAGATGAATTGCTCTTGAGATCCCATTCATAAAGTGTTAAATCCCCAATCCATTCCATCCTTCAGGTTTAAACAAGGAATCACAATCTTTCTTGATGATGTGAAAGAAGCCTCCAAAGAAATTAGCATCATGAAAAAATAGAAGAGACTTATTCAATTCAAGCTTAGTACGAGACCAATTATCAGATAAAAGCTTGGCAATTGAGTTCATCAACCAAGTCACCCTTTCAAGATCAAGATCAATGGCAGATGTAATATGATTTTTTGTTTCAAATATTCGAATAAAGTTGCAACTAAAGATATAGAAACGGAAAGATTTGCTTTCAATTGGAATTTCAAACCCATTTGGATGAATTAAAAAATTCTCAGCCTTCCAATCCAAAGGAATAAAAAAATTCCCCTGAATATTAGTCTGGTTAGCTTCCCTTCGATCTGGATGGAGCTTGGTTGTTGCTTGCGGATGAGCTGATGTCAATTCCCCTTGCGTTGCTGTGTGTTGGCAGATAGGTGACTCGTGATGTCGCCGTTGCTGTGAAAAACAGCCTGGTCTAGAACTTCTATGACCAAAATTTCCAAAGCCCAGGCTATTATTCCCCTGCAGATTTGACCGGTGTGCTTCCTAACGATATGGAGAGAGCTTGGTCGTTGCCTCTAAATGAACTGAAGCTGGTTTCCCTTGCCTTGGTTTCAGAGGTACCAAGATCCATCCTTTGGGTCCGCCATTTCTGAGAAGACAGACCCGTACGGAGGTAGTTTCGCGGGCGTTGGGAAGGTATCTCCTTCTTTGCGAGCTCCAGTCGCTGAGTGGATCACGGATGAGCTTGATTTTCCCCGGAAGAGATACGGCTGTCTCCTAATTTTGTCCGTTGTTGGCTGGCTGAAATCCAGAAAGACTCATCAACACAAACCGGGAAGGAGCCCAACAGAATAGTGCCAGTGCCCGCCTTCTTGCCATTGAACTCTTCTGGTTGTGTGTTGCCGCCGGCCAAAGCGCCGGCAGTTATGCCGGAGGTCCCTAAAGTCGCCAGACCCTCTCTCTCTAAAACAATTCATATTTCATTAATAACTAAAATATAAAAGTAATAAAAAAAATATAACTCTATTCATAATAAAAATGTAATAAAAACACGAAATAAATATTAAATAAAAAAATAAAAATAGAAACATACAAGAGATATTTTACAAGTAAACGGGTAGCTCACTTTACTCTTTGTATTTGGGAATTACTTAATTCTACCTCACTCATGAGAGCCTTCTTGAATTGTCTTCTCTCACCATCAAGATGTTATTCACTCACACTCATCACATGACATCTTTGAATCTCTCTTTTCTCATAAGAAGGTTGTGATCAATTATATCCCTCAAGAAGGCTATAACTCTCACTCACTCATCAAGAGCTTTTCTCGAGACTCTCGTAGGGATGAGGAGTGTCACTCCTATTTATACTAATCTTCTCAAGGCTAGAACTCTCTATACACCACTACACTTCTAGAGTCTTTCAAGAAGTATCCACAAGTTTCTCCAATCTTCGGGAAGGATTTAGAGAACTTCACATCTCTTCTGACTGTGCTAGAGACTTTCACACATATCCACACGATTATAGAGAATTCTACACTTATCTAGAAAACTCTACAATGTTCTAGAATATTCTACATTATTCCACACGCCTATTCTAAAATATTCTACACTACCATGTCTATCTAGAAAGCTCAAGATTTATTCTAGAACACTCAATACTTCTCTATACATACATATCTATAGAATTCTAGACATCTCAACAGTATTCTAAAGTTCTCAATAATTTTTCAGGTAAGGAGGGAACTCAACAAGGCGGAAAAGAAAAGAATGAAGTTTATTTTGGAGCAGACGAGTACTCCATAATGTATGTGAATTGAACTAAAGGGATTTGCTACAGTCTGTTATGGCCAATAGAAATATCATAAGAACTTTTGAGGTGGTAGCAAAAACAAATTGTTACTTTTAAATAATTAGAGATGATGTGTTGTCTTGTCTTATGTACATTACAAGATTGACTTTTTATATCAATTTCCTTGACCGGGAGCAGATGCCCTAAATACAACCGTAGTGGCCGATGCGGAAATGAGGGGTTGTATAGATCCTTCCTTGTACGTCAATTATATTGGGTCATTGGGGATTTGTGGCGGCCAACTGATGATTGAGACAACTTCTTCCATCAATTAGACGATCATTTTACTCATCCTCGAAGAAGCTTGATTTTACGGATTGTTGAAGTGGTCTTCTCCCTATCTTGCGTTTAGCATTTGTATTTCCAACGGACGGTTTACGTCGTTTCTTGTCCGGTGAATGATTTGGAGCGACAGTGAGAGGGCGGTTGTTACCATACTCTGCCTCTACCTGGTCTGTTTCTTATGGTTGATGTTTTTGGATCTGCTGCTGTGGACCGAATCTTGAGGTCTATAATTGATACCTTTGATTAGGGGTGGGCGCGGTCCGGAACGGTCCGGTAAATTAGTAAAACCCATAATGTATTCGTGAGGTTTTTAACGATTCGGTACGGTCCGGTTCTAAGAATAGAACCATTCGGTACCATGTCGTTTTGGAACGGAACAAAACGGTTCGGTACAATGCCAAACACATACCGAAACATTTGAACAAATTTTGCAATTAGTAGATATCATCACACGGGCCAATTGACGTGAAATTTTGATAAAAATACAAGAAAGTGCATACTAAATACTAAAAAAGATTCAAGAGGTTGACATTTTTTGTATTTAAATTCAAAAACACTCAAACAGTGAAAGGAATTTAGTAAAAGTATAGCAAAATGACAATATACAATCGTATAATATCATCTTTATTAAATTCACGAGAACATATAGAAAGAATATCGTTAAATTATTGTACAGGCTACAAATATTTAACGTTCTTCTTTGTTCTAAGTTGAATATTAATTCTAATATACGGAGTAGTTCATAGTTGAACCGTAAGAGCTATGATTCAAACCATATTAGTTGAGTTATAAGGATGTTTTTACTTGGACTGTAATTTGCCCCAGACCAGACCTGACCAGACCAGACCAGACCAGTCCAGACCAGACCAGACCAGTTCAGACCAGACCAGACCAGACTTGGATAGTTATAAAAATACAAAGAAACCAGACCTTACCAGACCAGACCAGACCAGTTCAGATCAGACCAGACCAGACCAGACCAGCAAATTACAGTCCAAGTAAAAACATCCTAAAACTACACAAATATGATACAACAAAAGTCATATACACTACATTACTAGAAATTAATAGTCATTAATGTTTTTTAAAATTTTGGCATTCTTTCATTATATACCAAATATAACATAAATTAATTATCTCAAAGGAAAACATAATACGAAGTAATATTTATATAACACACACTTAGCTATTTTAGGCCGGGATGCATGAATACATATTTGGGCTATAAAGTTGTTGATCTATAAAAGATATTTATGGGTATGGAAAAATATAAAAAATTCTCAAAGACATTATTTTTGAACGGTTCGGTCCGGTATTTTCCGGTTCTCAAAATCTAGGTCCGGTCCCGTACCCGTTTGAAACGGTACGGTTTCGGTTCGGGATAAAATTTTATAGAACCATTTAAATACCCGATATTCGGTTCGGTACCATTACGGGCCGGTTCGGTACGGTTTTTATGCCCACCCCTACCTTTGATTGAAAAATCGCTTGACAATTTCTGGATCGAGTTTTGAGCAAGGGAGAAGATAGATTGTCGGGCTGCCCCCTTCCTGAACTGCTACCTGGAGCTACTGAGGTGCTTTGGAAGATGATACTTCAAGAATACTGGCAGGAAGAAGCTTGGAGCATTTGTCGATTATTTTATTTTTTATGGTCTTATTTTCACGTTTGTTTATGTTGCTCTGTTTTTGTTGAAGTCTTTAGTTTTAGGTCTATAACAAGGATGCCAATTATGCTAGATATTATGTCGTTAGAAGAATCTATATGACCAGTGATTGTTGTGTCACATCTGTTTGATGGTTAGCGATTCATAAGGATTGTTTTTAAGTTTAGCGGTAAGATTGATAGTGGTTACAAATATAAGTGTTGATGGAATCCTAATGATATTAACATAAGTGATTTTCCCATTTAAAAATAAAATCTTTTACTCTCGGCGTAGTTCATTAGAAAGTCTAACAGAGAGTATATATTTTATTGTTTTTCATTTGGACGCTTTTAGCTGGAAAATGCTTCTATCATACTCTGTATTTCTTTTGTTTATAGATACTACGAGATCAAATACCAAATTAAATGATACTAAATACGGAGTATATTTTTATTTTATACTCGGTATATTTTTGTTTTATACCTTGTAGGGGGCCGGGTTATCGCCAACAAATCTATTCATCCCAAATAACACTATAATGTGCCAATATGCACAATCATTATGGCCCAAAGCTCTTAATTTTAACATCCGTCAAATAAACAATAGTATATGAGGAGATAAATTAAAATTAAAGTAAAATGATTTAGAGTCCGACAAACTTTAGCAAATTTGATATTCAACAATTATTGTGAAATTTTCTAAAAAGGTAAAATGGAAATAGTTTTTAACGCAAAAACCTCTCCCAGATCCCCTTCCAAACTCCGGTTCCAGAGCACTCACACATTTTCGTTTAAAAATGTTTTGTTTACCTCAACTCATAATTAATATGAGAGAAAACTCTCAAATAAGCCCTCGTACTCTCATCAATTCCTCAATTAAGCCCTCGTACCTTGTAATCACTCATTCGAGTACCTGAACTAACCAAAAAAAAACAATCAGGCCTTTTAACCGGGTAAAAGCCGGTTAGCCTGTTATGTCGCTGACCTGGCTGCCTACGCGGCCCTCCATTACCGGGCACACCAAATGACGTGGCACTCCACTTAAAAGACCCAAATCCCACCCGATTTCCCCCAAATCGGGAAACATAACCCGACTTTGAAATCGCCCTAACCTCCTCCCGGCGAGTCTGTCTTCTCCTGCGCAATAATGTCGTCTTCATCATCAGCAACGACTGTGAAAGAAAGAAGCCGCACTATGGACTACGAGCCAACTGTATATTGTTGATGTGGATTGAAAGCTCCGCTATGTGTTGGAAGAGAGAGTGGAAGAACATTTTTTGGGTGTCAAAAGTGGAAGGTAAGTACTTATTTTGGGTGTGGCTGGAAATTATGAATTACAAATATGCGTAGTATGAAATATGAACTGTTTGTGTAGTTAAGAATATTGGAATTTTTATTATGAGTGTCATATAGTCTGAACTCTTTAATGTTATGAACTGAGTATTATGAGTGTTAAGAATATTCGAATTTTTATTATGAGTGTCATATAGTCTGAAGTATTTAATGTTATGAACTGAGAATATACGTGCCATTACTACTATATATCATATGAAGTCAAGAGACTATATGGATTTGCACCACATTCGCTATATACACCTGCATATGAACATTGTCACCATTTGCCAGTGGCATTGCTTAAAGGAATAGACTGAAACACTTAATAATGACCTCAAATATGACACTGAAATACTTACTAACACACTACAAGTAATTATTGAACAGATAACATAATGAAACCCTGAAATAATGGAACACAAAGATCAATAATTCACTGAAATTATCATTAGGTTAGTGTAATACACCAACAACAAGACCAAAAGGTGGATGAATGTTTCCCACATATCACACAAAAAAATTAACTACTCCAGTACAACATTGGAAATGTTTTTCCTACAGCATAAACACTGAAATTACATAGTGTTTCATTTTGTTTACACAATGCAACATCAAAAACATCATCCTAGGCCCCACTAGCCATCATTGAACTTCCTCCCCTCCACCTCCAGTGTGTCCTTCTGTTAACACAGTTTCTCCAATCTGCCTGGGCTGCAATATATTGAAAGAAACAATTACTTCCAAAGACATTGCCCAAATGAATTTCAACTTGTCTTATAAGAATTCTATGACATTAAACTTACATCGAGAATGCTAATCCCTGATTGTTCATCATCATAAACTCCAAATCCCCTTTCACCCCTCCCCCTTCCCTTTTTACCTCTCCCCCTCCCTCTTTGAGCTCCATCTCTGTTACCTCTACCCCTAATTCCTCCCCGTTGACCTCTGCCTCTTTGAATAACTGATGTAGGGCCTTCACCATCTTCTCTGCCACTACCTTCTGTGGACTGAATGTTGGTTTCTGAACAAGATTTCCTATTGTGCCCTTCACCTTTACATTTTGAGCATGTCATGATGCGTTCTTTTCTTGGAAGGTGAGTGACTGATGCAGCGGGAGGTTCAGTTTCTTCTCTTACTCTTTTCTTTTTAGGACGGCCACTCATTTTCTTTGGTATGGGAGGTTGAATTTCTTCATGCTGGGTTCTTGGCCACAGTAATTCTCCATTAATTGGCTGCAGAGTGTATGTGTATGTTTTCTCATACAGTTCCTTGGAATAGCAATAGTCCACATAGCTTTCAGGATCCTCACCTTTATCCAGAATAGCACAAATGGCATGTGCACAGGGAATGCCACATAGATCCCATCTCTTGCAAGCACATGACTTCTTGTTCAGGCTCACCTTGAATTGAAATCTGCCTTTTTTTATCTCATATCCATCATCCCCATTGAAATCAACATGCCACCCTTGACTAGCTAATATATTTTTGTTCAATTTCTTCATAATTAGTGGACCAAAGTGACCTACACAACATATTTTAATAAATCAGAAGGGATTAGTGGAGAATAATCATGTTCAGGCATTAGGGTAATAAACAGATAAGTTTGTTACTTTTGTCAATCAGGCATTAGGGTACCAAACTTACAGGCATTAAAGCATCTTTGTCAACCTAAATACTCATAAACTGATTAGTCTGACATTAGGATGAGTAATTAGTGAAACTGTTAACTCATTTTTTAACCTAAATAGTCATAAACAGATTACTCTGACATTAGGATGACTATTAGTCAACCTAATGTTTAAATTATAAGTCAACACATATATGGATAAATATAGGATGTAAAGCATGCTAACCTGGCCACTTTTTCACAGACTTTCTCTTCTTGGCTATTCTTTTCATCATAGCCACTCTAATGCCCTCTAGCATTGGGATAAGGGGCTTGTCTCTCAAATGAACCAGAGTGCTATTAAAAGCCTCAGACAAATTATTATCTACACTGTCACATTTGACCTCAGTCCTAAAATATGCCTTGCACCAATGCTTTAGTGGTTTCTTACGCAAATCTCTACCAGCTTCATGGTCCAGCTTGTCTAACTCATTTAAACAAAACTCTAGATGCCCTTCATTTGTGGGCTTTCCACATTGCCAGAATAACTTCTTCATCACCAAGCCTCTGTGCATTTTGGCTCAGTTGGCATGTATATGCCTAGCACAGTGCCTGTGCTCATCTTCGGGGAGAACATTTCCAATAACATTGCACAGTCCCTAAACCAATTGAAAGTTTATAAGTACATATATTACCCAATTTCAATACACAAGCATGCATAACAACCAATTTCAAAGTCCATAGCAGGATATTAGCACAATGTCTATACCAATTGATAGTTAATAAAGACATATTACCAATTTCACTACACAAGAATGCATACAAACCAAAAAAAAGTTGAAAAGAACTTACTTTCTGCTGATCACTCATTATGGTCCATTCACTGGGATTAGTGATGTCAAGATCTTCCTTCAGAAGGTTTAAAAACCAACTCCATGAGGAATTGTT